TATATATATATATATGCATCGGTCTTACCTTGGACAAGATGGATGCTGAATTTGGTGCATGGCTATATATATATATATGCATCGGTCTTACCTTGGACAAGATGGATGCTGAATTTGGTGCATGGCACTTGCCCATGGAGAATGCTTGGCAGCTACCTTGGGGGGTTCCATAGCTAGCAAACTCTATGGATGCAATTGTATAACCATCTTCACACTGCAATTGCATTACTGGTTTCATCTCACTCGCTGAAAGTTCCCCGTTGAAGTAATTTGGGTGAGACCACATTTGAAGAGGTGGATTATGATACTCGGACATGTGAGCACACACAGTTTCAACAGTAACCGTCTTGACAGAAATTTCTAATGGGTTCCCACCTGTCTCCTCAAATAGAACAAGTAGATTGTCCGATGGCTGTAACCATGATCTTGGTACATGATACCTGTTTCATCAAAATTGGTACGTCAAGACTGCAACCACTTTTAGTAGGATTTTTATGATGATTTTAATTGCATCCAATCGTATAACATGAAAGACATAAGATCTCTTCAAAGAAAAATACCAAATCTGAGTAGGCTTGCCACAATTTGTATTGCACTTTTCTGAATCATAAGATCCACGATAATCACAAGTTTCTTGACATCCATCTTTTGGGGCAACAAGGGTCCAGTATCTTCCTATATGGTGTCCATTGACCCAAGCTTGACCTTTACCCATACTGCTCATATCAAGAACTACTGGATCTTTCCCTCCTGGGGAATCGAAATATGTCTGCCATCAACCAACAAAAGGAAGAAAAGAAACATTGGTATTTGTTCTCCTCAAATTGTAAAACTCTGAAAGTAAATAAGACATTAAGGCCATGTCTGTTAGCAGCTTAATGAGCTTAATGGGACTCACACGAGCCATACATAACTGTTTGGTAGTGGCTTCATGATAAGAAAGTGGCTTATTCAGTAAGCTTCTAGGGGAGAGCCTTATGCAGAAAGCCAAGTTTTTTTTCAAACCTGCCCCTCCCAATTAAAAAACGGGCTCCTTCAACCATGAAAAAACCCCTCTCAAACAAAAACCTCCCCAATCTATAAAGACAGATTAATCCACGCAGACAGCTTTATCCATCAAGACTTAATGAAAAACCAACCAACAACCCCTAAATATCCTTGTACATCCAGAGCTGCTGGATAGAAACCATCAACAATAACATGTGAAAGATGAATATATGCTTTATAAAACAAGTGGCACCTATTAAATAATGAAGGACAAAGTACAAGAAATAGATGGCAGTGCAGGAAAACGGTCCATGGAAAGGACTGATGGGTGGTCCTGGAGTTCTTTATTGGCATGGTTCCAGGAGTGTGTAACTTTGAGCCAAAGGAACATTCCAAAGGATCAGATGTAAGTTTCACCTATTTATTTGAACTTTTATTTGCCTTGTTCTGTTAGTGTAAGTCGATTCCTCAATTTTGCATATAAATAGGTTCTGAGTTCTTCTATTCAATAGTAAGCAGAATTCTCAATTTGTTGATTCTCCCTTTTATCTTGGTTCGACTCAAAATTACTTTCAATCTTCATTCTTGATTAACAGGGATTGTTTTTTCATTCTGCTCAACCCACATACAAGTACTCAGATTAGCTTCAACGATCTGTGTTTGTATCTGCACTCACATACAAGTATGTCCCAAGTGAAACCTTCCAGAACCTTCTGTTCGTCTTTGCTGTGCTTTTTTTTTTCAAATATGTTAAACAAGGTTCCAAAAGCATTGCCCAGTTATGCCATTTTATCCCCCACCAAAACATGAGCAGAAGAGAAAGGGAGAATATCAGCATATCAACACACTATATCAAGTTTGTGGAACAGCTGATGTCTTAAGGCATATGCCAAGCATCAGCTTCTTTCAACCACGCCAAAGTTGGATAAATGTGAACTCGATTTTAGAAAGTAGATTCAGCATACCTTCTAAAGTTTAGTGAGCAGAAATAAGTTCTAACTGCCTGATGAGCAAAAGAAGTTACTAGACAAAGATTGAAAGTAAAACCATCTAGGAATTGATCTTACCTTGTACCAGGAAAAGGTTGATGGAACTTCATTTTGTGCCAAATTAGTCCAATCCGAACTTCCATTATTATCAACAGCATATAATTTCAGGAATTCACCTTTAAGCCCAACCTATAGTCAAAATGATAGCAATTTGGTTTATGAAGCATAATCTCCAACCACAACAGAAATAAAAAACCTTGAATTTTAATTTACTGCTTTCATTTACCTACTACGTAAATGGATATAAAATATTCACTGTACTTTAGTGGCAAAATTATTCTGATCAGTTGAGTTTATTCAAGATCTTCAAAATCCTCAATACCAATAAATAACAAAAATAAAGTGTGTATGATTATGGTTTGACTATATTAGCCAGAACCGATGTACATGTAAATCATAATGCATGGAGGAGCAAGTAGAAGACTAGAACTTGTGCATAATTTTTTTTAACCTTGAAGATGCAATGGGAATGTTGAGAAGCCTTACATCAGAAAAGTACCTGATAGGTCCATGGTGAATATGTGAGATTAACATCCCCATTCTTGAATCCAGTTAGAGTGATCTGACCCTTAAATCCTGCTCCATCTTTCTCAAGAAAGGCACCATAGTTCTGAAGGAAGTATAACATTAGGACAAATCATGTAAAACTTGAATCAGATTGAGATGGAGATCAATAAACCTAGTTTATCCTATGAAACCAAACAAAACGAACCCAATATCCCACTCGAAAGTAGGGTTGGGGGAGGGATGGGCTGTACGCAGCCTAGTTTATCATATGACGCAAAGCAACAGAAATGAGAAATCAACACTCAAATAAAAGAAACGAGACTTCTTAGTATAAGAAGACCACGATACGAATTAGTCAAATTAGTACTATCTACTGGGAAGAAGTGACGGAAATAAATATGCTAGAAGTGCTCATAGTTGCCAAGTATTAACTTGTATGAAATGCTGAGAGAGTCCCCTCCATGACAATACATATCAACATAAACTCTGTATCGAAACTTTGCCAAACACATTGTGTGATTCTTCATTACCTGCAAGCCCACTGTCTCTGATAATAACATCACATCATTGTATCCTTGCTTAAATTGAACTTGCTGAGCAACCTTGATCCAGTCACCCCACGCGCTACCTTCATTTTTTGTGCACATGGAATACATCAGGGCCAAGTTTTTTTAAGTTGGTAATGACATGTAATGACACGACATACAGTTTCAAGTTTTCAACAAAATATAACAGAATTAGTCATGTCCAATTTGGGGGCAGGGAAACAAGTTACAAGATATGTTCTTGGTCAACAGGGGCACTTTTTAGCGTGCTGGGAGTTTCTCTAAACATTATTCGGTAGCAGGACTGCAGGAGTTCCCCTCATGAACCTGAAGATGCATAAGCATAACAAAACAAAGTAGCTAGACTAAGGGGCCGTTTTACCAAACGCTTACCTAGTAAGTGCTTAGCGGATCACTTTACCTTATCCAATGAACATGACAAGGATTGAGACTCTTACCCGGTAAGTGAGAGTGACGACTCTTACCCGGTAAGTGCTTACCGGATAAAAATGTTCCAAACGATGCCGTTTTAATAGACTAAAATCTTACCCGGTAAGTTAAATGAAAGTGTTGTAAGCGTCGGGTAAACGGCCCCTAAGGCATTGATCAGATGACAAACATGAGATGAAATTACCAAGGCCCGTGGCAGATTTATTAGATGAGACATGCAGGGATGCAAATTAATATGACCACTTCGCACACTGAGGGCCATAAGATTCGAATGTGTTCATATACACGAAGCGGAAGCATGGGCAATTACCTATAAGTTGTCCATTGATGAAGATATGAACCAAATCACGCATGCTATCAATTGTAAGTGATGGACTAATTGCATTTTCCTTCCAGAATGCAATCTCCTCATCAGAAACATATATTCTGCATTTCATTGAGGCAAATAGGGATTGTACCAATATCAAATTTTGAAATTCCTTCAAGAGAGAACAATATAACTAAACACCAATAAGATACAAATAAGGATCTTCCTTTTGAATTCTATAACTTCTTCAATGTGGAAACATAAAGTAGAAGAGGGAGGGGATCAACTGTAGTGTCAACATATAGTAGATTTGAACTAATCAATCAGGACAACTTGTTAAAAGGGATTCGGGACACTCCTAGGAATTCTACTTATCCATAAATGAGCTCCTCACCTACAAATTAGTTTCATAAAAGGTTCATACACAACCCCATTGAAATATGTTTTTTCAAAACGTGGATAGCAAGCCTACAAAAAGGGAAACCCTAAACCGAGATGAGAGATAGACAAGTCGTTTATTTGAACAGAAATTGTGCAAGTGACATTGGTTTTTGGGTATTAATGGGTATTAAGAAATTAACCCTGGTCTTAGAAAGAAGTATTTGTGTTTCCAGTTGCGCCTATTAGAGCCATGCTGGGTCCGCCAGCAACTTCAACAACCCATGCACAATGCGTATTTTGATCAAAGTATCAAACCCTAACAATATAACTTGGAGTCAACAGATTTTTCCCCCTATCAATTAGGCAGTGCCATCGAAAAGCAGGATAGACAGCTGTCCACTCAATGTTAAGTTGATAGTGTCGTGGTGTACCTGGTAATATACCATAAATAATCTGATTGGTCTTTTGTCACATTTAGATGCTCCAAGATGCCTTGAACAGTGAAATTATCATCACCCCAAACACCAATGGGCTCCTTAAATGACATCCATGATTCCGAAACAAGTGGTACTCCCTTCTGAATCATCAAGTGCTCAGGAGCAGAAATTTTTGCAGATGATGTTGACTCGAAATCTACCACTTTAATGGAGGTCTGTGCCCCAACCTGCTCCATTTTTTGAAACATATACAATTTTCATAATATAAGGAAGGGGAAAAAACCTATACGTAACGGTGAAACACCAAGACAGTTTTCCAATAATATCAGAAAAGGCACTATCTAGAGAAAAAATGCCCGACAACTCCCATCACTTTCCTGTTTGAGGCATGAAACTGGAAACAGATTTTACTATGACAAAATCATCAGCCAAATGACGAAAGGGGTCGATCTCAAACGGTAAAGTACTACATGCATTTGTTAAAATGCAACTAACCAAAAAGAATACATGTGTATGTGTGTGTGTGAGAGAGAGAGAGAGAGAGAGAGAGGGAAAATAAATTGAATATGAACTTATTCACATCTACTTCAGGGTTTTATTCTATCACCTGAAAGCAGTGCGAGAAAGCAAGACCTTGAAGTTGTTAAGACAGCCCACTAAGATCAACAACTATAACCATTAACAGTCTTGCATCTGGATTTTAAAATAGTATGTTAACCTACAAGTTCATATGGTCTTTGTCAATGCTATCACATATGAAGTAACTATAAAGCTTATGAAATGGGAAAATAGTTGAACTATTTTGTAGCCCACTGATGAGCAATGGTTCTAAACATCACACGATGTGTCAAGGGTATTGGAAAGAGAAGGTTGATAGTGGATGGAAGGGAGCAGTTTTTATTAGTGCCATGGTCTTCAGTTCCTAAAAATAGAACAAGAGACTACACAAAAGAAAAACATTTCTGGCAAATAGATCTAGCAACAATTATCCTACAGTGGAAGATGATGGACGGAATACTTTGGGAAGTTGACAGGGATGTTCAAGGACTCCTTCAAAATATTTGAGGTTACAATCAATATTTACTTCAACTCAAAAGGTAAGGGTCGCAAAAATAACATGTGAATATGTTTGGGTTATATAACTACTGAATCAATATTTACTTCAACTCAGAAGGTAAGGGTCGCCAAAATAACATGTGAATATGTTTGGGTTATATAACTACTGAGATATGCATCAGGTAAAAAGAGAGCAGATACATTACAAGAACATCCAACAATGAGTAACGTATTTGCTTTCTCTAGTATCCCATGGTAGTTTATTTCAACTATAAGCTGAGTTTGAATCCCTCTTTGTGTATGCCAGAGGTGCGTAAATGGGCTGGCAGCAAGGGATTTCCTCTATGCAATCCTTTTCCTTCTTGTTGCTGCATATCTCGTTTGTACCCTACAGTATCGTCACTGCAGTAGAGTTTAACCACCAAGTTCGGGATGGGTGGTGATTCAACATAGATTCTACATCTTGAAACCAAGCCAGTTTTGGAGCAGCTTTCCTTGTCGGGTAAGTTCCGACCCGCATGAATATTTTTGGGGCGTTCGTAGTGACTAAGGGGGTCGAAGACCAAGTTCACCCTCGGGCATGGTTTTCCAACTCTTTCAAAAAAAAGCTATAAACTTGGATTCTTTTATTTACAATTCACAGGTAGGCTAGCCATGGTTATATTTGTAATTATTTAACGAGTGCGTCAATTTCGTTTTGCCACACTGTAGCCGGGTGAAAATAGCTTATGTGTGAATGTGTAAGTGGGACTGTCATTCCAGCTATAACACATACCTCATATACCACATACCATATAACAGAAACATGAAACAATCACTCAACCAACATGGAAAAGCATTTCCAAGGCAGTTTCACCAAGATGGAAAGACACAACGACATGAAAAAGAGAATGTATGATAATCAAAACATCAGCAAATAATATTATTACCTACCGAGATAAAATAGAAAGAACTGAACAAAAGCTTGCATATAATTACAATAGTCAAACCTTCGCAGTGTTAAAGGCAGTGTTTCTACAGTCTGGTAGTATACTCACGGACCATGGTGGTAAAGTGTATGCTTGACCAAGGAATTGTACAGAGCTTTCTTTATGTTCATCAATATTAGCAAGAAATGCTGAGCAGGTACTATTATTACCACGGTATACATGTGCCTGAACCAAAAAGTATGGATTGCATCAATTTACAGTCACAGGATTGATGATTAAAAAGGGATTGTTGGTGGGTTTTAATGGCTATTTTGTAAGACGCATTTTAATCGATGTAAGAGGCAACATGTGACTTGATGCAACAAATTCCTTTTATTTCTTCCTTTTTCTGTAATAGGAAGCTGGTAAAACTTCAGGACTTAAACAAACCTCCTGCCTAGGTCCTAATTTTATATACTGAGCCGAATCAGCAGCAACTAGTGCAGGCTCACAAAGCTTTAGAGCAGCATGTAGATCCTTTAGATGCCCCCATTTAGGCTGATGTAGAAGACCTAGCAGATCAAAATCAGCTGTTCAAGTTAGCAGTGTTCAGCTAAAAACACCTTCTATCAATACCCCCTATCAGCTGTAGAAAGCTGAGTTAACATATTTTGATCTTACCATATTCATCAATTGGAGCATCATAATCGTAACTAGTGATATAATTAGGGCCTCCAGAAGTTCGTCCAAAATTTGTCCCGCCAAAAAACTGATCCATAAAGAAGACAATACATTATTGATTGATAGCTCTTCAAGAACTTGTAAGTTTATAAAACAAGGTAAGTAAATAGTTGAACATGTAATAAATACTATTACGCTGATACAAGACATGTAAGGAAAAGAACTTCATTTCAATGAATACAGATGTTAAGCATTCCAGTACTAATTAGAGGTGGTAAAATGAAAACTACATGGGAACATTTGTTGAATATGATAAACCGTTCGATAATTATTTTTGTAGGATGGCAATTCAGTGTAGCTTAGTATACCATATAATAATTCTGAAAGCTTCCTCCCCGTTGATAAAATCGAGCAACTGCAAATGCAAGGTCCTCCACAGGCCTATGAGGCAGTCTTCCTCCCCAAGATGTATACCTTAAGAATAGAAGAAAAAGATCAAAAAGAAACTGTCAGTAGCCAAAGTCGAAGTTTGTCAGGGTCTAAATATATCAGCTTAAACTAGGATGATAGTATTTTCTTGTTAATATTAAGAACATTTTCTTGTTAGTCTACCCTAATTTTGTGGGGTTGTAACCGCTTATGTACTCTATTTAAAGAGAACATTTCTATCTTTAATAAATAACCAGAAAATTATCCAAATCTTCAAGGTGGAGTTTAAGGAATTTCTCTGTTCCATTTTTCAAACACAGAACCTATTCTCCACTTTTTATCTATTTTCTGTCTCCAAATTCTAATGGCTAACAGCAACACTGCACTCTTTTGTGGTGTGCCAACCATCTTGTTCCAAACTCCGACCTCAGTCTCGTCCGCTTCTTTTCCAGGAGCGAAAATTACTGTCTTCGGATTAGATGGAAAGAATTACCTACAACGGGACAATTTGTTAAAATAGTTATATACTTATATGTGGCAAAGGCAAGCTGGGACACATCACACGTCACCAGTGAACTTCCTGCCCCAAGGTCCACGGAACCCATCATACACTACGTGGATGGCTGAAAAGTCTACTGCTCTTGCCTGGCTCATAAATTTCAATGGAACCAAAAATCAGCCGTCTTTACTATCAATGTATTCTCAGGCCTCGGATGTTGAAGGGCAGAAATTTGGGACAGCAAACTGTAGTGGTGTTCCTTCAGATTCTTCATAAACATATGTGCATGTCTTTTGTATAAAAGAAAGAAAAGATTCAGTTTTAAGATACTAATTATGGTATTTCTACAAACTTTTATTAAAGATATGCCATATATTTTTCCTATCAGACAGAGGAAAGACATGCTTAAATGCACATATTTTATTTACATACATACTTATTAGAGAGAGAGGTTATTTATTTACCAGGAGAGTCTTAAATTTCAATTACAAAATTGTTTACCACTCTTTCTTTGTTTTTCCCTGACAGACTGCTTGTCCTCAGCTCCTGAACACTCCTCTTGTACCATAAATCTTCCATACTTTTCAACAGCAGAAGTCTCAACTTGGCTTGTTCAAGTGCAAAGGACTTCCTCAAAATTACTAGAAGTCTTGAGTTCAAATCTCAGTTGATTATTGTCTGGTAATGGGTGACTCAACAGGCATTTTAGCAAAAAATTTGCGTGTGGGGTGACGTTTCGCAGGTCTTTAAAGAGTTGCAAATAAATAAATAAATGAAAAAGTAATTTAACAATCAATGAGGACAGACAAGTTATTCATCTTTCTTCATGATACTTGGTCAATGAAAGAGTACCACAGCATGGATCTCTCCATGATAGAAAGGGAGCAGGGTCCATGATGGAAGTATCTATAGCTAAAGAGTTGATTGGACAAAAATGATATTCTTTCTACTTTTTTCTGCTAGCTGAAGAGTTCAAAACTGGCCTTAGCTTCCAACTTATTACTATTGTTGCAAGAAAATGTATTTGGATACCAAAGAATTCTAAGTGATCGATATTGTAAGATCTATCGTCCAGTCGGTAACTTGGGCCTAAGCGCAGATGGCTTATCATTCACATGCCAAAGTCTATATCAGGAGGAAAGCTACTAAAGCCAAGTCCGGCACACTACAGTGCAAAGGGTAGGGAGCTGGACCTTGCTATAGAATTCATTGGCTAGAATAGGAAGCTACTAAGTTAAATCAGGCACTTGGATGATTATGGGAGATTTTGATCCTCAAATATCATACCAATAGTAGAAGATTGTAGCTTATCGATAAAGCTCACATACCACATTACCATGTAACTTTCCAACGTGTTTTATGAAACAGGATGGTAATCAGGGCAATTTGATGCCTTTAGGATGAGGCATCACAAGGAGCAATCAGCTAATCGTTCTCTTCTCATTCACAAAGTACATCAAACAATGTGTACCTTTTCAAAAACTGAACTAAATCGAGTTCAAATGACATGCAAATATAAATGAATCCTTTTGTGATCCAGATAAGATGAAACATAGATCACAGTTGCAGAAAGATTACCTAACCTCATACTCCATAAAGCTTCTCCAGGTTTAATTTATATAACATGTTCAAAGTTAGAGAAACTAAACAAGAATATGATAAGGTTTGCATACCATCCATCCCAATTTTCTGTCCAGATTACTGGTTTCTTCTTGGAGTTGGGCGTATAACCATCACAATAGTATCCATTGCAAGCATCTATCTGCAGAAAAACGGCTCCGGGGGATTTAAAAACCAAACCAAGATAATAAGTTGATAATTCTCATTCGCACATGTCAATAATTAAAAACCCGTCATCCAAACAAAACCAGACTGTTAAATTAGGTTGCTGTCAACACAAGTATTCCAAACGGCATCTAGTGAATGTAAGTCAATAGAGTAGGAAGATACAATGTTTTCTGGAGCATCAGTTTGCCTGCACATGACCCATGGGACGCCAGCTCCCAGTCCAACAGCCATATTTGCAGCCCAATTCATATAGTCTTTCCCTTTTTGTCCATAAGAGTCTTCAATATTCCCATACTCATTTTCAATCTGATACACAACAACTCCAGTCAAGAAAATCCAATTAACAGAAACAATTATCAAAAGTAAAGAGAGTAAGCATCGATAATTCTAACACAACTGATACCATCTAGCTAAAAGTAATGATCAAAATGAACATAAAGACAACCTGCAGCATAATGATTGGGCCACCTTGCCAAGAGAAGAGAGATTCCTCTCGCATCACATCTACTATTTTTTTGACAAAACGTTGCATCTCTTCCTGCAATAAGATTGTTTATGACCATTATCAATCATAATCCCTAACATATAGGAATAACAATAACACCTGCAAGTGCAGATCACTATCTCAAAGAAAAAAGAACAACAGTAAGTCCATGTTCTAGATTTAGTTTATAATAGACTTGGGCTGGTAATACTTTTTCCTTCAGATGAATGATAGAGAAGACAATTGTTCCTCAATTATATCGATGATGTAAGATTAACTCATTTAACTGAGTAGTGATGAGGAGAAAGTCATAGAACCCAAATCCCACTTGGGTAGAGAGCTATTCAAAAGCCTTCACAGAGTCATACGTTAATAATGATTTGTGGGGAGCAGACATTATATGCATAGTGCTACTATCAAAAGGAGGGGAATAAAAAAATGAATTTGAAGGGGTAAAATCTAGCCATTGGGGAGTCCAGTCTGGTCCAAAAAACGACTGGTCCGGTCCATTTGCCCACCTCTAGATACAACTAAGGCAAATCAGTTCAATTAGGCTAAGACATAGTTGAAGATATATATATATATATACACACACACACACACATATACAATGACACTATCCAAAAACAAGAAATCAATACAGAAGCAACGGATCACATAGGCATAAAGTATAAATTATCTGGTCCAGTTGTACCTTGAACGGTTCATTGTCTGTTCGGAATACAATTCCAGGAATATCGCGAAGCCACACAGGGAAACCCCTACAAAGTCAACACTTGAATTCAGAACATTTGAATATCATTCAGGATACTGCTTATGAAATAAACTTAAGGTACAGAATTTCCAGCTTAGACACTATCTTTACTTTACAATTATGCTTCTTAGACACTATCTTCACTCTACAATTATGCTTCTTAGACGCTGCCTTTACATTACCATTATGCTTTTCTTACCCATAATTTAGATGATTAAGAAATAGTTAAATGTATGCCTTCTGAACCATAAATCATGAAGTTTAACCACCATCGTGCTTATATTAAAGTGTTATTTTGTAAACTTTAAAAAAATATCAAACATAAACAACTTGATTAAAGGAAATAACAGCAATTAGCCAATTGTTTATTAAGTGAATTTGTTCTATAATTGTATCTTTTGTTTTATTACCTTGTGGCAATTTAGAATCTTTCAATTGTGTACTCTTAAGCAACACAACTTTTTCAAGCCACGGGAAAACTTGTCTTTTCTTAGCTAGTGTTTTAATTAAGTGAAAATTCCAAAGTAAATTAACAATTCCCAAGTGTTACAAAAACAAAGGGCAATATGTTATGTGGACTTTGATAGAAAGCTAAATTTAATTAGAATAGGAGGAAGTTGAGACCCAAAGTTCCACTCTGCACAGACATATGGACCTATTCGGAGATGAAGATAGAGCCCACTGGATCCCACTAACTTTACAAACTTCACGAGATCATATCTTCCCTCGAAACTATACTGAACAGAGCAGATAAAAGAAGAAAATAAGACACTGCACGGAATCAATTAGTAAAGACAGCTAAATCTAAACCAAGAAGAAGTCTGCAAGTGTTATTGAGATACAGTGAGGCTACCAGCACACCTGTCCTTTAACTGGCTCATGGCCACTCCAGAATACATAAGTTTCAATGACATCAGCCCCACCTTCCTTACTCTTGGCAATCAGATCAGGCCACATCTGACATCAGGTAAAGCCGTACAAATGATGAAACTGCACCATATAAACACATACATGGAAATGCAACCTATGAAGCAAAATAATGTTGAAGGGAAAACATTACTGTCACCCAGAGCCTGCTTTCAAGTGGGATATACCAGGTCAGTTTGGTTTGGAAAACATTACTGTCAACCATTAAAAACGATATTGAACATCAAACACATAATCCGGAAGGGTGCATATAAGATGTGAGTGAATGTGAAACAAGAAACATAGATCACATAACACTTGATGTCAAAGCCTATAGAGCTGGATTCGGTTTTTGTTCTCCATCAGTGCTTGGGGTATCTGAAGTTAAGATGGGGGGTTTAAAAACCCACCATCCAACATATTCGGTTAGCAAAAGTTATCATTTCATGACATGTTCCTTTTAATTCATATCTTCCTTCTCTCACCAACTAACATACATGGTAGAGTGTGCAATTTGTTTTGTGAGAGATGATCTTAACAGAGCAACTCTGAAGATAGAAGATCCTTGATTCAGTGGCAGGAAGCAAATGATGTGAAGGGCATACCACATCAACACACTTTCAACAGCGCTTGACGAACACGATCGCCACATCTTCCTTTAGTCATCAATGGCCATTCCAGCTAGGAGGGGCATGGCAAAACCTCGAGCAAAGCCAACACCCTTCAAGCAGTGGGACTAACACTCAAAGGCACCACTAACCGAGGACAATCATCGACCCCACTTACCCGGAAAAGGGGGGATTGCACACTCACAACCCAAAATTCAGTAAGTCTAGCTGGATGGACAGGCAACCACATCAACCAAGGGTGACCCTAAAAGCCAAAACCCTAAAACATAATAGAATGAGTATGCAGGATGAGCCTAAAGGAGTTCCAATCAACCGAGCCACCAGGTTTGAGAATAAGGTGGGACCCACCCTCCTTAATGGATTTACAAATGCTGTCCCAAGCAATCCAGTGGTGCCTGTGCTAATATACCTAAACCAGGAATAAACTGGAATTTTCTCTTTTAACATGACCTAAGCAATTACATTGGTCCTCTCCGGTATTCGCTCTCCCACTCAAGGTGGATCAAAAGGTCGACCCCTATTGCATCCACTATTTGCAGGTTCAAGAGCTGAAACAAAAGCAGAGTACGAGAAGCATCATCAATACCTTAATTTCCCCATTGGATGTACCAACAAGGTAGGTAAAACATTCATTTACAAAAGAAAATGGTGGTCAAAGTAGTTCCAATTTCCAAAGCCTCGGAAGTATGTTTAAGGTCATTTGTTTAAAAAGCCAAGTTGCCTTCCAAGCTTTCCTTCATGCTGTAGCATTTTCACACAACTAATCTAATCATATACGTACCCAATTAGCCCAAACATAGGTCAAAGTTTTCCCTTTAGGACTTGGTTGATGATTAAAAAACTGATTATATGTATATATATATGCTGCACACTCACTTCCCACGACAATGTAAAATTTTAACATAACCTAAGAGAACACTACAGATTTCCACAGCTCTTGCTCTTGATTTTCCGTCGGCGTCATGGTAAACCAGTGCGTGTAGAATCACACAAGACGAAGGATTTTAATTGTAGAATTTACAGGACAAGGGAAACTACTGAAATACCTCAGGTGTGGCTCGAGGATAGTGAATTCCAGCTGAAACGAGCATTCTCCGTTGCCCGTCGATTATAAGTGCTCTATGATCGTAGCTAACATTGAACGGCTTAAAATACTGGCCGGTAACCATGCTAAAGGTTACAGTCAACGCCATAGCCAGCCATTGAAGCCAAATTCGAGTTCCGTTCTGCATGTTAGTAGCTCTAAAAGAGAACTTGACACAGAATCGCCTATTTCTAGATGATCACCAGTTGCAGCTTACAGTATACTGTAATTGTGTGTGTTCATCAGGTCGAACGTCGCTAACAAAGTGATCTAAGCTTGGAAGGAAAGAATCGGTTCAGACGTTGTTCTTATCTGTAATACCCCCTGCCCTTTCATTGATATAAACTAGCAGATTCCTTTTTAAATTTAAAATAAAAAATTAAAAAATTAATTATGTTTATTGGAATATTTCTTTTATTTAATAAAATATTATTTGTTTTTAAAGTTTCTATTAATAAAAATATATTAAATAATATTTTTCTTTAATTGTAATTTTTTTCTGTTATCCAAATTTAAAAAAAATTACAGTTTATATTCTACTTTCTTCATTGTGGAAAAAAGACATGGAAAAAGCTTTGTTTTCTCCGATTTGAAAAATCTATTCGAGATGTTTTAACATAAATACAACCGCAGGGACCAAATTTGTAACAAATTACAAACCACAGGGACCAAATTCGTAATTTACTTTAATCTAAGACACATATTTCAAAACCGGACGCAGATTTATTTTCAAGACTTTCATATTCTCCCCGCCCTACACGAAACCCCTTTTGGATGAAACAAAAAAGGCGGGACTTCAAAAACTCAGAAATCGAATCAGTGCGAAAATCACCAGAAAGAAGAAGAGTAGAAACAATGGCAGATGAAGCACCGCTGGATTTAGAGGCACTTCAGAGGTATTTCACCAACCCTATCGCACTAGCACGCTTTTGAAAACAAATTTATTTACATGTCATTCATCGTGTTAAATCTATAAATGCAGTCGAATTAAAAAACTCGCTGAAATTCGAAGCAATGGTCATGACGACGCAGATTTGATGTCTACGGATGAGGACGATTTGCTCAGAGATTGTGTCTTTCAGCTTGAGGTCAGCGAGTTAACTTGAATTTTATAGTCTCTTGTGCATTTTCGTTTAACATTCACCCTTTGCTTGTATTTTTGTAATTGTAAACAGGGGAAAATGAATGAGATTATTGAAGAATACTCGGATGTCAGTTCCTTACCAGCTGAAGATTTTGGTACAGCTTATTTCTATTTACACGATGTTGACACTCAGCTCTAATACAAACCGAGACAAACATACACTCTCTCTCAATTTACCATGTATGCATGCAACTAATACATTCATTGAAAATGGAAAAAAAAAAGCCTCCAATTGACTGTTTTCTAGTTTTTTCAACTTCCCAGAAAATAAGGGAACACATGTACACTGATGGCTTTTCATGGTACTTTTATGTTTCCTTGCTTTACCTCTGCTAAATTTTGATGATCTTCGTTTTCAAGTGTGTGAACCTTGTTTAGTTAAAGGCAAAGGGACAATTTTCGGTAATTTACAGACTCCAAAACAGAACGTAACTGTTTTTCTTGCCGATTTTTTTACGTTGATTGAATTGTTTTAACTAAAAGTTAATGAATCACATGTTGTATTAAAATTGATGTAAAATATGTTAAGAGGTACTCATCACGAACATGAAAATAACCTGAAATGCACTGAACTCTTATCAATGGAAATTACGGATGTACCCCTTTTGCCTGGAAAAGATGGTTTGTGAACTAACATAATTAACATTTTTTTCTATCCAAACAAAGAGTCCATTTTTCATATTGAGAACACAACATCATAAGTTCTAAATGTAAATTTTGACGTGGATGTTTCTAGCTTTTTACTTTCAAATGTTGTATAATTGCAAGAATACTTATTCAACTTTGTTGTAGAAAATGTAAGTCATTATTTGACACCCAAATGTTGACTTATGGACTGATTCTTGTCGAGGGATGGATAAAAATCTGCGTTTATGTTAACAACAATGAACATTTTGAATCTTCACGAGGAAAATGGTCGGTCTGCAATTGACATTCAGACTCTTTCACCAATGATGGTTGTTATGGTTTTATGTATGTCTATTATCAATCGGACAACTTGTGTACATAGATACATATTTGGAGAATTTAAAAAGGGAGCTTAGTTCTGTGGAGGCTGAAAATGCTAAACTTTCTGGTGAAGTTGGAAACCTTATGAAGGGCTACTTGGAAGGTGAGCAAAATTGTATAGGTTGGTAAAAAATGCATTGCATGTTGGTGTGGCTTCATAATGAACAACTTATGTTGCTGTCCTGCATGATGCTTTTGGATCTCAGATTCTATCCGATTGCAGTGCAATATTGAAGGACTAACTTCTTCTTTGGAGTTCATTCAGTCACAGGTAGGCTGCCACTAACTATTCTCTTTACACTTTTTTGACTTTCTTTCCCTTTTCTTTAATACATAAGAGAGGGCAGGGGAGAGGTATAACTCTATAAATTAGTCTTCTCTGCATATTTAGCACCACCGAATATCATTTTTAAGGCTAACAGAACAAACCAATGAGCTCACATGTATCTTTCTATGAAGGGTCTTGTAACGAAAAGCGCAGATGCTCGTACTGAATGCTCTTCGCTGGCAGAACATCAACTGGAATCCAAAGGTGTACATGGTGGCTGCAAGTTTGAGGTTTGATAATGTAGCTTTCTGGTATACAATATAAACATGAAAAGATGCATTAAGTATAGCTTGTATCATTATGCTGTTTTCTGTTAACTACTTATTAGCTTATATAATGATTTTTCAAAAGCTTTTAGAGCTCAATAGTCAGATTGAAAAGAAAGAAGGAATTTTGAAGTCTTTGGAAGATCTTGACTACACTCTGAAAAGGTACTGCAGAGATACTTGAAGTTGCATGGTTTTGGCTTTCATTCAATTGCTATAAATTCTTCCTTTTTTCTTGAAACATGCAGGTGTGAAGGTCTTTTAAAGGTTGAGGACACACTGACTGGACTTGAAGTCATTGGATATGAAGGGAACCGAATCAGTTTATCATTAAGAACACATATTCCTGAAATAGAAATGCTCGAGCAGAATCATGAGTTGGCTATAGAACTTTTGGATGACACGTTGGAATTAAAGAATGCTGAGGTATTCTTGTTTGTTTATTTAAGAAGTGAAATGGTCTTTGTAGCACTTTTCTAATAGTTAACAGTTATAGCTTACAAGCACTGGGCTTTTGGTTTTGGGGACTATTTCGACGCTACTAATCTTGTATACTATTTGATGGTTCTCACATTTGATGCTCTTCATGCTTCTTCAGATTTTCCCAAATGATGTGTATATTGGTGAGATTATTGATTCTGCCAAGTCATTTACGTGAGTTACTTCAACACTTACAGTTTCGCTTTAGTATTCATGTCAACTTTGTGATGGTGATTGTGCTTATATCTGGCACGTGTGAGGATCTTTGCTTTACTGTGTTGAAAATACTCAATATAGCCACTCGTCTAACAATCATTGACACACAAGAAGTATGCTTTTCACAGCCATACCACCACTTTGCTTTCTACACGTTCTCACACTCTTGCATATAATGGATCCAACTATGTATTTTATTTGGTAAAAATATATTTGTACTCTGCATTCTTGCTTACATTTATTCGAATTTTAATTAGTTATTCTTGCAGACACCAATTTTCTCTTCTTCCAATGCCTGAGAACAAGTCGTCATTGGAGTGGTTTGTACGAAGAGTGCAGGACAGAATAGTTTTAAGCACATTGAGGAAATATTTGGTCAAGGATGCAAGCAAGTCAAGGTGAGACATTCTGATTGTATTTTACTATACTTATTTTTCCAAATGTGTTTTCTCGACCAATTCTGCTGGTTTGTATACAGGCACTCCATCGAGTACATAGACAGAGATGAGATGGTACTGGCTCATATGGTGGATGGAGTTGATGCTTTCATAAAGATGCCTCAAGGGTGGCCAATGGCTAGTTCTGCATTGAAGCTACAATCTTTAAAGGGTTCAAGTCAATCTTCCAAGGAGGTTACTTTCAGCTTTCTTTGCAAAGTTGAGGTTAGCCATGTACTCTTTAAAGCTCATTAGAAAATTTCTTTCCAGGAACAGTTCATCATGTTCTTTCTAACATATGTTGTTCCTCATATAAGAAGCATCCAATACCATCATTACGATACTGGGCTTGTTTTGATTTATTCATTATATTTTATGTTGCCTTTTATATATATATATATATATATATATATATATCTGCAAAAATATGAAAAACTGGAGGAACACCTTGGTAACAAGTAACAACCATTCATTTGTATGGTAATGCACATGTGCATATGGTATAGATGAATGGATATCTGAGTGTTTCTCAGTTTTTTATTTTCTTGGGGGTTTTCCCCTGAACCTCCCTCTCTCTCTCTCTATTATATATATATATATATATATCGTCATGCAACTGAAGTTGTCACCTATGTTGATATAAATGCTTGTAGTATATATCCTGAATTAGCTTAACATGCCATGGTTCTTTTATTATTTTCACTTGTCATTGATCAAGGACAAGCAAGGTGTCAATGTGATGTATATTGATATGGTTCCATGTGCCAACATGCATTAATGTGGATTACATTTCATCATTTTGAAAACTACGTGGATAACTGAATTTATTCTCTCTTTTTTACTAGAGGACGAAGATTTATTTTTAAAACCTTTAACCTCAAATATAGTTCCACTTCTGCTCTTCAAACTTCAAAGAAACAAAATGAAGATATGAAAGTTACAAGGAAGCATTATCATTAACAACAGCCGATGCTAAAATCAACTCGGGTTCAAATCCTGCCATCTACATATGCCCTTGTGGCCATTGGGAGATTTACCTAAGGGCCTTAGCCGAAGCCTACAGTTGCGACGTGCCATGGGATTAGTCTGGGCGAAGCCTGAGATAACCCATTCCAAAAAAAAACCAGTATCATTTGTTTGAAATACCCTCTTCATTGTGGCCATCTCCGAAATTAAACTTTTAATCCAGGATTACTGACCATTAGATCGTCAGCTGACTAAATCTCTCTTCTTTCAGGAAATGGTGAATTCGTTGGACGAACAAGTATGTCAAAATCTTTCTACATTTATTGATGCAGTTAAAGAAATTCTCGAGCAAAGAATGCGTGTAGAACTTCAATCCAGTAATAGCATCAACAACTAAGATACTGCTAAAGGTGCTACTCTTACGCCTCCTGTCTTCAGGGTCTAGTTACTGGCATAACTTTGATGTATGTTACTACAATTCCCATCTGTTTTGACGAAATTTACAACACTTTGAATTACTGTCCTGCTATCTTCTGTGCTCAATTCCAAGTCTTTTTTATTGTGCTTTCAGACTTCAGTACCACCTCTTACCAATCATAAGTGAAATATAATTTCAGACTTCAACACCTCCTTAAAAACAAACTACACCTATATATTCTCTATATTTTGGAATGTTGTCTAGATTTCTCTATTTTAGAGAACAAGATAGAGAATATATTAGAACAACATAGAGAAGAAAATCTCTATTTTATTGAATCTGCTGGAGACACTAATTTCTAAACTTTGTCCTAAAAAATGTAATAATTGCCACGAGGGTCAGTTAGGTCCAGAGGTCAAAGTGCTGAGTGCTGATTGCTTATTGCTGAAACCTCACCCTAAAAATCTGTAATCATTTGATATGATATGGCTTGATACATAAGATCGTAAAAGATTCTTGTAATTAAATCATTGTTTAAAGAACAAGAGCACTTTTTCATAAACTGTATGTTTTTCTTATTAATCCTATTTGACAACAATTAAAAGAAACACCCTACTCAACTTTTTCTTTTCTTTCCCTAATACACTGCACCACTAACTGCAATACGTTTTTTTTAATTATAAAGTCAAATACTTTTTGTGATCACGATGAAACTGTTTGAGCAAATCTCCTTCAATATTTGATAGAATTAAATTGACCCTAGACCCTGTCTTAATACCCTAAAACGTCTAGTATGCGAATATAACATATGGAAGAGGTCTTTTTTTTTCTTTATTAACTGTGGGTGTCAGGTCTAATTTGCACACACTTTGACTAATCCTAAAGGTGTTGAAGAACAGTTAGAAGAAGTCTTTAATGATCTTGTAGGACTTGAACTGACGACCTTTGGAGAGAATTATCAAAGACTGATAACTCTGAATCAATTAAATACGTGCATTGAAATATGCTTCTTATTCCACGACAATATTTTCAACTCCCCAAAGAATTCCATAGCTTACTATGCCCTTGTCTCTAGTATCCATTGTAAGCGTTTGTATAGTGGTATAAGAGTATCTTCGTTATATTATCTAAATTAGAGAAAATGAATATTTTCTTCTAATAGATTATCTATACTATTTTCTAACAACAGAGAAATGAAAAACTTCAAGTTTAAAGAATTTCCTAAACCTTGATGTTAAAAGAGACATAAATGAAACTTCTTTTATTCCTGCCCACCAATGATATTGATTTATAGTATTATTTTATATGAACTTTAAAAAAAAACTATATTAAAATAATAAATTAGTAAAATATTTTAATAATATAATTAATGTTAAAATCCTTAGTTGAATATAAACTTTTTAAATATAACTTATGAGACTACATATAAGAACCATTAGACCTAATTCAACAATCACGGAAACATGAAGGGGGTAAATTGTAAATAAAATAATTACGAGTTGTATTGATAATTATAATTTTCATTATTATAGTTTATAATTTATTATTATTTTTATTTTTGAATTTATTCTTACCTTCAAGTATAAGTGATCAAAATAATAAAGAAATACAAATGACAGAGTAAAACTATAATAAATTGTAAATAATAAAAACAAAAACAACAATAAATCATAAATTATAAAGACGCTAACCATAATTTCTAAATCATAGGGACTAAAATAAAAACTTTTAACAAAATCAGGGACAAAAAACGTAATTACTCAATATTATATACCTCCAAATATTGTTACCACCGATCATACTTTCCCCCAAAACGCCAAAAGCAATCACCGAGAACCCTAGTTTGAGAACCAGTGATGCAAATGGCACTTGAAGACGAAGACGATGAGCAACAGCAACAACAAACAAAGAGATTCAAGATGTCGCACTCCTCCGAAACATCCGAGGATCCTCAATCGGTTTCTACTCTTCTGCCGGAGATCGTAGTAGAAATTCTCTCGAGGCTTCCCGTTGAATCGCTCTTACGGTGTAGGTCTGTTTGCAAATTATGGCGATCATTGATATCCGATCCTCATTTCATCAAATCTCATCTCAGTTTGTCAACTAACAACAAGCATTATGCACATCATCGACTAATTTTCAGCACTGTGCCAAGGATAAATCTCAAGAGTTGTCCTCTTTATGACGTGTTGTATGATAAATCCGTTAATGCGTTAGAGCTGGATTATCCATTGAAACACCCTCTTAAGTCTGTCTGGATCGTCGGTTCTTGCAATGGATTGTTATGCATAGCGATTGAGGAAGATACTCTGTTTATTTGGAACCCTAGTACTAGAAGATCGAACAGGTTACCATATTGTGGTTTCAAAGTGCGGTCTGGTTGGTATGTGTTGTATGGTTTTGGGTACGATGAGTCCACTGATGATTATAAAGTTGTTGGAATCTCTTGCGTTTTCAAAAATGGAGCTAAGTATGACACCAAGGTGAAGATATACTCGTTGAAATCTGGAAATTGGAAGAAAATTGGTGATTTTCCTCATGGTATTCCCTTGGATGATTCTGGTAAGTTTTCGAATGGAGCTCTTCATTGGGCAGCTAGTCGAGATTTTGGCTCATCTTACTCGTGGACAATAGTTTCTCTTGATTTAGCAAAGGAGACTTATGGTGAAGTTTTGCAACCTGTGTATGATGAAGGTGATAAGGATTTGGCATTGGGGTCTTTGGTAGATGGGTTGTGTGTGCTTTGTAATTATCGAGGAAATCACGCAGATGTATGGCTGATGAAGGTTTATGGAGTGAAAGATTCTTGGACTAGATTAGTTTCCATCCCTTATGTGACTGATCCTGGTAGGGATCAATTTTCTGTGCCTTTGTGTATTTCAAATGATGGGAAAGTTTTGTTGCAGTTTGGCTCGAAATTGGTTTTGTATGATATCAAGAATGGTTCATCCTCAGAGATTCAGAACTTTGATGAATGTCTTGAAGCGTATACCATTGTTGAGAGCATGGTTTCACCAGATGCCCCCATCAGGCACTGGAGATAACTATGAGGATGGAAATCAAGGTAAACTTTGCTAAAGATAAGATTGTTGTCCTAAGATAATTGCAATTTGCATAGGTACAAATTTAGGAATAAGTCAAATATTTTGAACACCCATTCACTAAAAGTGAGTATATTGTAGTTTGAAATCAATGTTCCTATAATTACATTTGAAAGTTTTTGCAAAAAGGTTGTGACATAGTGGTCGAGACCCAGGGGATGTGGTTGAATATCCCATTTGTTGTGGGTTCGATTACAGACGACCACCACAATTGTGGCCACCGATTTTATCAGGGTTGATGTCTTTAGGTCACAAATTTTCGGGAGTAGTTTGGGCAATAGCGTGGGATACCCTTCCAAAAAAAAAATGTGGGATGGAGGGAGTAATATTTATTTTGTAGCTAGTTTATATTACCCTGGATAGTGTGGACTTGCCATGGCAGTTACCTTAGCTTTTGCATAGATACAGTTCATGGTAAATCTGTCTATGCACCAACTATGGTAGTTGTTAGATTGATGTTCTTAAGATCATGATGAATTGCCTTTAAGTAACAAACTTTGTAACATTTTAAGTGTTGGACTATTGTAACATTTTAAGTGTTGGACTAGTGGCAAAGTCACCGGACTTGGTGCTTAATGAATCATTGGCATCAGATTCGGCTCGCACTAAGGTGCTATAAATTCCTTGGGGCCTCTTAGAGTTTATGCAAATTATTTGAACAATTATCCAAAAGAAGTAATGAACTTGGTGGTTTTTTTTCTTCTGAATGCAGAAATCTAATGGCTACTTCCCATGGTTATTGCTCTTAGCTTGTATTGAACAAATGTATAGTCGATGGGTCTTTGAATTACAATATCAGTAAACTAGAATCGGGCCGATTGTTTCTACAAACTGGGCATTTTCTTTTTGAGTAATGATGGTATGTTTTTGAATGCAGGAATCTATAGCTTTGCCATCCTTCAGAAGCTGCTTCAGTATCTACGTTTTTTTTCAGTATCTATGTTTTCCAAGTTCATCAGAGAAATAACAAGTCTTCTGTCACTTTTATGCTTTTCTGTGGATGGATTTATTTAACCTTTTTATTTATTTATTTATGTATGTGGTCGTGTGTTGAGAAACTCATTATGCAAATTATGTAAATATATATATCTTTAAATTATGGTTAAACAGTTAACCTTTCTACTGTGTTTTGTTAATCCATATATTCCGTTTTGGTTTGGTTCAGTATTAAACCCTTAGTTTAAAACCTCACTCAAATAAATTTTGACTAAATTCAAAACGATGGTTATCATGTTATGATTCAACTTGGTTCGCATTCTTTTCGTCTTGATTCAACTTGGCCCGAGGCATGTTAGCTTAGTTGGCAAAGGGGTGGACATACTTTGCCCAAATACATCTAGACACACACGAAAGAAGATTGTGAAATCAAGTAGGTTGGATTTTGGAGCATATGGGGCATGGGCGGATGGTCTTGAAAACGATCTTACATCGCTTTGATGATAGCTAATAGCTAACAACGTGAGTAATTTAACATGGCTTTACTACTGGTTTGATAATGTACATCGGACAAAGACGATGATTAGTATTAATATACAAGATAAGGTTACAAAGATAAAACTTGGCAAAACCCTGGCTCTTGGAACAAATGAGGAAGAAGTCTGACGATATGTGATTAGTTACATTTCTAAATCTAGAAACCTTGGCTTAGTATTAAATTTTTCGCACGTATAAATTAAATGTTTGGGATCGATTCATCGAAAGTAATTTGTATGTCGTTTAAAGTGTTTTATTATATGAATTGAGTAAAAGGAGAAATACTTATACATTATTTTCTTGAAATTTTGATTTGATGAAAGGTTATAAATTTGTAATGTCTTGTAAACCAACAAGAACTCAACGATTGAATTGCAGAAAATGAAAATCCTATCATGCTTATGAAGTAGTCGTGTATGATTATTTCAGATTGGTAGCTCCCATCGATGTAACACGTTTATATATTTATTTGTTCATTTAATTATGTATTTACATAATTATATTTAAGAGGATGGAAATTTTGACTCTGCTCCAAAACGTTGAAATGTGTCCAACGAAAAAAAGTAAAGGGTGTGAAATTGTAACATTTTCCAATTATGAGAGAGAGAGAGAGGTGAGGCTGAGAATAAGGAGACAAGAATGGCTGTTAACGTTAATACATTCTTAGGCGCTTCAAATAAGCTACTGAACCTCGGATAATCTCTTTCTTTTCTTTCCATTTTCGACATGTTTTCCCAAACTTTTCTTCTCAATTCCTCATGCTTATCCTACAGCCGATGATTCAGCCAAAAAAAAGATAGATATAAATTCAAAAACATCATATGCATTTGCGTCGAGAATGGCCACTAATCCATCAGGATCCGGTGCGCCTCAAGGAGGAAAAGTTACTCGGAAGACACCCCGTGATGCTGATAATCACGAATCGAATCGCCAGATGTCGTTGACGACATCAAATAGTAAGTCCATGGCCTTAAGGAACCAGCCTACAGACTTTGATCACCAGCGTTGGTTGTTTGAGAGCAAAGGCAGATACGGTATTGGAAATGCATATTGGCAGGATGACGATAACGTTGACCGTGAAACCGGAACCAGCTTGGCTGATTTCGTCGACAAGCCTTGGAAACCTCTTACCCGCAAGACTCCAGTTCCACCCAGCGTTCTTAGCCCATACAGGTGCAAATCCATACATTCTTAATTTCGCAAAATTAACCTATTACACCACCGATCCTTTATTGTTTGTTCCTATAAATTAAGTCTTATAAGCAGTTGTATCCGACCTTTTTTCCATGAGTTTTATGACATATCCATATGTAACGTAACGTAACGTAATTTGATCTCCGTGTACAGAGTACTTGTGGTAATCAGATTAATAGTGCAGTGCTTCTTCTTATCCTGGAGATTACAGAACCCGAATTTTGATGCAATGTGGTTATGGAGTGTCTCGATCGCATGTGAGATCTGGTTCGCCTTCTCATGGCTGCTAGATCAGCTACCGAAGCTGAATCCGATAAACCGGGCAACAGACTTGGTCGCTCTCAAGGATAAGTTTGAGAGCAAGTCTCCTGACAATCCCAATGGCCGGTCTGATCTCCCGGGAGTGGATGTATTCATTTCGACTGCTGACCCCGAGAAGGAACCACCTCTAGTTACTGCCAACACCATTTTATCTATCCTCGCGGTTGAATATCCTATCGAGAAGGTATCCATCTACATCTCCGATGATGGTGGCGCGATCCTGACATTCGAGGCAATGGCTGAAGCAGTCCGTTTCGGGCAGGTAGGTGCATTAGGATTAGACTATTGTACGTCCTATGTAAATGTGTTACAAGTTTTGAATATTGTAAGAAGCTTTTTAGAACACCTTTGAAATAAAGTGTCATATCATATGAACACTATCTTTTTATAGAATATTTGTTTTTATATATGACAGTCTTCAAAAAATGTCATAAAAAACTAATAGAATGCTTTATTTCAAAAGTGTTCTAAAAAACCTATGTAGACGTCCAAAAGTGTCTTATCAACTTATTGTAACACTTTCACACAAGACCCTGTTTGGTTAATTTTTCATTTAAGTCATGCGTGAATAAAGTTGACTCTCTGAATTGTTTAATATGTATAGATTGAAAATGTTTTTGTTTGAGAAAGTTTTTCCATAAATGGATGAAGCTTGTTCTTTAATTGAGAGGGTCAGGTTTGGAAAAAAAAAACTTGGTTTTCTACATAAAGCTCTCATCTAGAAGCTTATTAAATAAGATATTCTCTATATCATTAAGCCACTACCAAACAGTCATGTATAGCTGACCGAATAAGTTATGAGTCTCATTAAGCTGCTAACAAATAGGTCCTTAGACATATCTAGTGTCCAATAAAGTCGATCTTGTTGTAGTGTTCATGATAACAAGATTCTTGTCTAATGAGCACTAAAATGCAGATTTGGGTACCCTTTTGCCGGAAACACAACATTGAACCCAGGAACCCTGACAGTTATTTCTCTCAGAAGACAGACCCAACCAAGAACAAGAAAAGGCCTGATTTTGTGAAGGATCATCGTTGGATGAAGAGAGAGTATGATGAGTTCAAAGTCAGGATCAATGGTCTTCCAGATGTCATAAAGAAGCGTTGTGACAAGTACAACTACGTAGAAGAAATGAAGGAGAAGCAGAAGGGCAACAGTTCAGCCTCGGCTGAACCTGTTCAGGTCACCAAGGCAACTTGGATGGCAGATGGTACACATTGGCCAGGCACGTGGAAAGACCCAGTAGCCGATCACAAGAAAGGCGATCATGCCGGAATTATACAGGTAAAACTGATTTTGATTTCATAATACTGCAACAAAATTGATTTTATAGGACGCCTAAATGTAAGTGTCCTAAAAAAGGTATTTCATAGGACTTGGGTTTACAGGACCAAACCAAAAGACATTATATCTAAAAGTGTTACAATAGGTTTATATGATGTTTTTAAATGTTTTAACAAGTTTTTTAGGATGTTTTTAAAATAAAATGTTGTATTAACTATTTTATACAACATTATTTGAAAAAATGTCCTGTAAAAAGGTGGGTTTATAGGAGATCTTTCAAAAATGTCATGTAAAAAGATGGGTTCATGGGGCATTTTTCAAAAGTATCCTATACAATAGCTAATTAGACACGTTATTAGGCATCCTAAAAAACTTGTTAAAAGCGTCCTATAAATCTATTATGACGCTTTTAGATAGGACGTTTTATAGTTTGGTTCTATAAACCTAAGTTTTATTAAGTATTCTATCAGGACGCCTACACAATTTAGGCATCGTATAAAGCTAACTATGTTGTAGTATGATATTATTGTTTTAAGTAGCTCTCTGATAGAAAGTCTTGAAATTGAATCTCTACATAGTTAATGAGCAAGATACCAGAAAATGAACCTGTAATGGGCAAAGAAGATGAAGGAAAACTTGACTACACCGATGTAGACATTAGGCTTCCTATGTTTGCATATGTCTCGCGTGAGAAACGTCCTGGTTATGACCATGAGAAGAAGGCTGGAGCCATGAACTCGTTGGTTAGAGCTTCGGCTATACTCTCCAATGGACCTTTCATTCTTAACTTGGATTGTGATCATTATATATATAACTCTATGGCTATAAGGGAAGGAATGTGCTTTATGATGGATCGTGGTGGTGATCGTGTATGCTTCATACAGTTTCCACAAAGGTTTGAGGGGATCGATCCTTCTGATAGATACGCCAACCACAACACGGTCTTTTTTGATGGTGTGATCCTCTTTTGCCTTCTAGGATACGTTTGGTATACCGGGTAGGACAGAACAGAATAGAACATGAATCACTTTCCATGTTTGGCAAGAATTTTGTGAGGAACAGAGTGGAACACATGCTTGTTCCACCACCATACCATGGAACGAGGTGGAACATCATATAGACCTCTCTCTTTATATTTTATTTATACTTTAAATTTTATTTAATGTATTTTATGTTATTTTAAACGTTTATTCTAATGTCTTCAAAATATTACTTTTATACAGTTTTTATATATTTATTAAATATTTAATCATAATAAAATAATAAAGAAAATGTATAAAATAGAATTTGGAAAATGGAAACGACATGAACCTTTTATTTTGATGTCATTTTAATCGTCTTGATGAAAACTTTTTAATGATATATCTTGTTATGAAGAATATTTATTTTATTATACTTTAATAAATTGCATAACTTAATCAAAATATATAAACAACTCAATAGAAGTAAATTGGTTATTCTATCTATTCTGTCATGTCCGGTTTTATTTTGTTGAACTTATTCTGTCACGTCCTGTTCTATCCTACCATGTCTGGATACCAAACGCACACTTAGAAACTTCCAATTGCTAGCTTATACATATGTGACATGCTATTGTTGACATAATTAGGGAATATGAGAGCCCTGGATGGTCTACAAGGTCCGGTGTATGTTGGAACGGGTTGCATGTTCAGACGGTATGCACTCTACGGGTTTAGTCCACCTCGAGCAATTGTGTACAGTGGAATTGTCGGGCAGAAAAAGAAACCAGCTTCGACACTCTCTCCGAACGATTCATTGCAGGCTGTGCGTGCTCAAGACGATGACCCTGAAACTCAAGATGAAGAGCATCCTGATTTAAACCTCCCGAAAAAGTTTGGGAATTCAACCATGTTCGTCGACTCTATAGCAGTTGCCGAGTATCAAGGGCGTCCACTTGCCGATCATGCGTCTATCAAGAACGGCCGCCCTCCAGGAGCACTCCTTGCTCCACGTCCTCCGCTAGATGCACACACCGTAGCCGAGGCTATAGGTGTTATTTCTTGCTGGTAAATGCTCAACCACATAATAGCATAGGGTCAGGCTATGGAAAAAACGACAAAGAAAATAAAAAAATAATGAACACCCTGATAACCGTTCATCTAGACGGTATGTACATATACATACAAGTAAAGGGAGACCTTCTTTTGAGAATCCATAAAAATTGTGATAACCTTGAGGACCGGTGCATCATATGCTATTTCATATTCACTAACATATATTTGTTTCACAATATGTTTGTTTCACATTTATTTGTTTCACAATGTGAACCTTTTTAACCTTTTTGTGTAACAAAATTTTACATTGTGAACTGCATCATATGAAGCAAACACATTGTCAAACAAATATATGTTCATCAATACATTAAATGTTAGCCTTAGATGGAAAAATAATGATGTAAAACAATATCTTAAGATAAAAGTTCGTTTTCATAATTTATGAAGTTCTCAAATAATTAATCCCCAAGAATAGTTATAAGGTGTTCCTTAGTTTTTCATTTTTTTGGGATTTACCCCCTGAACCTCCCTCTATAGACTGTTACATTTTTTAAAATTTAAAAACAAAAATACTCCTTAAAAGGGGATGATCTACGGTTAGGATTAAATTCCATTGGGTTACATTAGTTGCAAATTCCATTGGGTTATATTGGTTGCAACATTTGAAAAGGTTGCATTTGATTTGCATTATATTATATATATATATATATATATATATATATAATATGTGTGTATCATTCCATGTTGCCAACAGGTATGAAGACAATACTGAATGGGGAGAAAGGATAGGGTGGATTTACGGGTCGGTTACGGAGGATGTGGTGACAGGTTACCGAATGCACAATCGTGGTTGGCGATCGATCTACTGCATAACAAAGCGTGATGCATTCCGTGGTACAGCACCAATCAACTTGACTGATCGCTTGCACCAAGTGCTTCGGTGGGCCACTGGTTCCGTCGAGATCTTCTTCTCAAAAAACAACGCATTTCTGGCGAGCTCACGTCTCAAGTTCCTCCAACGCATAGCATATCTAAATGTTGGTATGTACCCTTTCACATCCATATTCCTCGTTGCCTACCTATTCCTCCCGGCACTATGCATGTTCACAGGGCAATTTATCGTGCCAAACATTGATTCAACATTTCTCGGGTACCTCCTCATCATGACCGTCACACTTGCTCTCATCTCTCTCCTTGAAGTTAAGTGGTCAGGAATAGCCCTTGAGGAATGGTGGCGAAATGAGCAGTTTTGGGCCATTGGTGGCTCAAGTGCTCATTTAGCCGCTGTGATCCAAGGGCTACTCAAGATCACAGCTGGAATCGAAATCGCGTTCACTCTGACTTCCAAATCAGCTGCAGAAGATGATGAAGATATATATGCCGATCTCCATGTTGTCAAATGGACGAGTCTCTTCGTAGTGCCTCTCACCATTTGCATTACAAACATCGTAGCCCTTATCATGGGGACTGCAAGGACTCTTTTTAGTGTGATTCCCCAATGGAATAAGCTTATTGGTGGTGCTTTCTTTAGCTTTTGGGTGTTGGCACATATGTATCCTTTCATGAAAGGGTTGATGGGTAGGAGAGGAAAGGTTACAACCATTATTTATGTCTGGGCAGGGGTGCTGTCCATTACTGTCTCTTTGCTTTGGATTACTATCAGTCCCCCAGATGACACTACGCAAGTCTAAGAGCTATGTGTAACAACGCGTCCCACATGGATAGAAAATGGGATTCGTGAGCTCCTTATAAGCCTCAAGTTGTGGGTTACCAATAACTTCCACCATGGTTTTAAGTTGGATTTGAAGTTATTGGGTCAACCTGTTGTTTAGGGGGTGTTACACTGTGGGGGTCTATGTTACTAGATTATAAACCATGAGATTTTCACCTCCTTCAAGGGGTAATGTAAATATATATGGATAGTTGATTGTTATATATTAGCTTTCTTCTTTTCTCTAAATGTTTCCATATTTAATAGCTATGACTTTCTATCATATATCAAGCTTGAAGACGAGAAATACAGGAAAAAATAATGACAAGTACCAATTTATAAGTAATAGCAAAAACCTTAGTTCTGAAGAAATTTGAGCATGTGAATTGGCAGTTTTGCTGCGATTGTGAAGCCCTGCATCAAATGAACATGAAACTATCAAGCATTAACTTTGGGCCCTAATATTGTTTACTGCAACCAGGTGAAAAGCAATATCAAGGGAATATTAGACACCAAAAGAGCATAGAATCTCTAATCTATATGCAACTAAACCCCACTTATCCTAACCTTTTTGACAAAAGATTTATAGCATACTCATTTCCAACTCTCTTCACATAATAAAAGACAAGGACAAAACTGCCAATTAAATTGGCTCTAGCTTGGTTATTGATTGTAAGCTTAGCATTCAACCAACAAGGTCTAGTGTAGTCACTGCTATCATATATTCATATGAAGCCAGACAGTAAAGTCTTGCAAGAGGCAAGGAATCAGATTCATGAATGATCATGGATATAGAATAAAGGTGTCTTTCTCAGAAGCACCGCGTCGGTTGTTGTACTATTCACATTCACAAGTTCCAAAATAAGGGCTGCAGAATGATGCATCATAACTAACTTAACAATCTAAAGAACACTCGGCATATGATGATCAAGCAAATACTTGCCACATAGTTGAGACATGGTATTGTATAGCATTACAAATTTTTATTTTCTTTGGAATGAAATTTAGCTTATTAAACCTAGGAATTCACATATTAAATTTGTTGAAGATAAAAACAACTAGCAATTTATACATTGATATTTTGACACAAGGATTGTCCAATTTGTGGAACAACATCGAAGCTAAACAACAGCAACAACAATAGCATTTGCGTCATCGAGTCTTCTGAACCACTAGTTTAAATTCTCTTCCATTTTCTTTATTTTCGAAGGTAATGCATGTTATTCCACTAGTATCTCGATCAAATTTCATAGCAAAATGGCATCACAGCTGAGTGATAAGGCTCTCTCCGACTCTCACCTTATCCTTTGTTCTAGATCACAGGTTTAAGTCCTAGAACTCTCAGTTTCATTTATCAGAAGAAATATATGAACATACCTTGAGAAGCAAAATTAAGCATAAAAACTTACCGATAATATAGACATCAGTTATCAGTTTAAGTTCAACCTAAAATTCGTTCTAGCATTAACTAAACCGTTCATATTCATCAAGAGTGAAGTGGTACATACATGTGTATTATTGCCATTAGAGAGAAGCAGCCAAGCTCAAATCCACCAATTTACCACCAATTCTGCTGGACTAAAAGCAAATAAAGGAAATCGTCAATTTCCACCTCCATGTCATGAGTGGTGATGATAACAGTGATTCTAGATCTTCTTGAAACGTCTTCGTGGAGGTGCGAATTGCGAATAGGTTTCGATCCATTCAGTTCTCTGTGCTCAGTGTTGAAGATTCGGCATTGGCGAGAACGGAGAAAGATGGCACTTTGGCGGGAAACTACAGTAAATGCACAAAAGTATGCAACTGTTTAAGAGGGAAGCTTCTCGTGAGGGTTAAATCGGGTGAGTTTCACATCCTTTTTATAGGAGTAAAATTACAAAAATAGTCCCTCCGGTTTATGAAAACTCTGGTTTTAGTCCCTAAGATTTGGAAATTACAAGGATGATCATCGAAGTTTTCGTTGCGATTTTCATCCCTGATAGTTAGGTCAACTGAGAAGTTGTTTGACAGTTGTTGAATGATTTAATGCAGAATGATTAAGTGATCAAAATGATTAATAGACTCTCATGATATAGTGTAAAATAAAATATTGTTTGGTAATTCTTTACAACAAAATTAGGGCGTTGAATGGTTAAGGGAGTCTCGGGATACAAAATCATTCAGAGAGTTTTAGAATAATTAAGAGGCAGATTTCTTTTGGCCAAACAAAAATCAGCGCTTAATAATTCAGAGGTTGCCTCTTAATAGAACTATTAAGATATAAACAAACAATCCCTGAATGTCTCACATGCAAGTTACTTTGAGAAAAATTTGGTAATTTTGCTATTTTTAATTGAAAAATAAAAATGTATATGTCGTTAAAGTTTGATTCAAGTTATTAAAGCATATAAGAAAATAAAAATAAGAACTGACTTACACCCTTCATTTCCAGAGACAGATTTCTTAGATCGGTTTCATAGATCGGTTTCTAGATTGATTTCTTGACATCTTCTTTCCGATGATGATTTCTTAGATCGGTTTCATTTCCATGGATTTTCCCAGATGTTGTTCGATTTCATTTTCCCTGATTTCCAGTCGTCATCTAGATCGATTTCTTTTCATCTAGATCGATTTCTTTTCATCTAGATCGATTTCATTTTCCCTGATTTTCAGTCGTCATCTAGATCGATTTCTTTTCATCTAGATCGATTTCATTTTCCCTGATTTTCAGTCGTCTTCTTCGATTTCCATGGATTTTCTTCCTCTTGTTCTCAGCCTCTAGATTATTATGTTTCGATTTTAGGGTATAACCTCCTGATTTTCAGTCGTCTTCTTTGATTTCCATGGATATTTGTCACTCTTGTTTGAACTTGTTCCCAGCCTCCAGATTATTATGCTTTGATGTTGAAAATAGTTTGATGAATGGTAGTTTTTTGGTTTGATGATCAATAGTTTTTTGGTTTGATTAACAATAGTTTTTTGGGTTGATTTTGATTGAACTGGTGTAAACAAAAATGGGTTTGAACATGTTCAAAAAAAGGTAAACAGCATAAACAACACTACATTTTTAGGGGTAGATCGGTCATTTATGTCATTCAGACCGTTGATTCAGGTAAAAAGATAAACAACAACACTTCTTTACCCAGACAAATAAATTTATCCAGAAAGACAAATTTATCCATACAGGACTTAATAGAAAATTTGGTAAACAGCCCCTTAATGTGACACCCACAATTACCAAATCTTCATCCCTCCTTTTATCCCAGTGCCGAGAGTAATGAGCGCAAAACCCCCTCCTTACATTTCCGCTTACATCGTGGATCACCTTCATTAGCTTTTCTAATTGTTTTATCTCGCTAACATCTTAAAAAAAAACCATTAAAAATATGTATTTGTTTGAATATAATAAAATAAAAAGTGTTATCATTTGTTTACAAATAAAATAGTTATCTCGAAAATTATATATATTGTATTTATTTTAAAAAAATATTTTTTACTCTATAATATTTAATTTGCATGCAATTTCATAAGAAAAAGTCAAAAAAATTGAATCGTAGCAATGAAAAATAAAAATTATTAAAAATAATTCAAATAGGTTTATTTTATTTTATTTTAGTTATGTCAATAAAATGATGTGTCATCCACATCACTTCATTAAAACAAAACAAGCAAAAAAAAGGTAAAGAGGTTAATATGTTTAAAAAGTAACAGGTTACTCATTGTTATAATGAATAGGATTTTTAAAGTTAGATGACTTAATAAAAAATAATTTAAAAGTACATTAAAGTAATAAAAAAATATTATAATAAGAAAATTTATGAAAATAGGTTGTTATTTTACACATTTTAACCTTTTATATTATAATGATAAAAAAGTAAAGTACGAAATTGAAAAAAGATCATTTATTTAATTTACAAAAAGCTTAAAAAAAAGATTGTTTACAAAAAACAATCTGAATGTATATTACTCTTTATAAATGAAATTGTTGGACAATACTGAATCAAAAGAGATCAACAACTGATTACCAACCCTATAAAAAATATCAATCGTATCAATTAGTTATTAATTAATTTGATTAAAATTAAAAACCCATAAAAACATCTTTATTCATTTCTTTTGTCGATACATATAACCAAAAAAACATAAAAATATATAATTGTTTGTTTGTCATACAGAATTATAATAACACCTCACCACTTATGTGCCAAAGTTAAAAAGCATATCTTGATGGGAGAAACCATGAGTGCATGGTGTCCTACCAAAACCCCCCCTACAACTATCTGCAACCAATTTTGGTCTCATCATTCAAACACATAATGCTCACACCCTCGTCTTCTTGGTCCAAATCCTTCCCAAATACCTAAACTTTCTTTATCAAATGCTTTGAACCAAGGTTGGGAGAAAGAAAAGGGTTGTAATCTAGTAAGCTGAACTATCTCTACCCTAGCGGCAGCGGATGGCGGTGGCAGTGCCGGCAAATAGCCGATGCACCACCTCTCTAGTCTACTCCTCCTATGAACCATCAAGTTCCAACAAAGGAAGAAAGCAAGGGTTCAATCCCAGGCGGTTGAGGTCTAGGGTTCGATTCCAAACGTACATAACAATTGTGGGTTGATTTCTTGTAGTCACAATTTATCGGGATTAGTCCAACATAATCTGGGACACCCAAGATCAAATAGCAAGACCAGTATCAGCAAAAACCAAAGATCATGATCATGTGGTCATCATGGAAGATGAACAAGTTCGTCAAGGGAAGATCAATGGTTTTTAGCTGTGAGTCCAGGACTAAAACGAATGGAACTGACAGTAGAGGAATACCAAGAGAATCTTAAAAAAAACACCCATACGCGAAGAGGCTAATCAACTTCGTACAGAAACAAGAAAAGTTACTTGGCCTTATGCCCATGTTCAAGAATTCGATCCCAGCTAAACCCTGCAGTAATGATATTTTGATGTTATGATTTTCTGTTTTTGCATTCATCAAGATTCAAACTAAAGTTTTCATCTTTGTTTAGGCTATATGTTTGACAAACTGGTTGGTTAGCTCAAAAACTAACCGATAAACTAGCTGTTAGCTCAATAACTAGCCGTTAAACTAGTTGTTAGCTCATAAACTAGCTGTTAGCTCAATAACTAGCCGTTAAACTAGTTGTCAGCTCATAAACTAGTTGTTAGCTCAAAAACTAGCCCATAACATAGTTGTTGGCTAAAAAACTATCAGATAAACTAGCTGATAGCTGGAAAACTAGCGGAAAACTAGTTGTTGGCTTATAAACTAGTTGTTAGCTAAAAAACAAGGTGATAAACTAGTTGTTAGCTAAAAAACAAGGTGATAAACTAGTTGTTATCTAAAAAACTAGCAGATAAACTAGTTATTAGCTGAAAAACTAGGCATGTTTGGTAAAAACTAGTTGTTAGATTAAGAAGGAACGAAAAAATGGATAAAATGGTGGAAGCATAAGCATTGACCACAAAGTCAAACAATCGAATTCCACAAGAATCACAATTTCAACTTTTTATACCCCCCACAATGATTTACTGGAGTCACAACCCTATCAAAGACTCACAAGTCGAGAGCAAAGTGGCTCCAAATTTCCTTCTTAAACTAATGCAAATTAGTAACTAACGCCAATTAGTGAAGATTTCAATAAAAAAATAATTTTACCGACTTGGTATCTCTGTCAAATGCCTTCTGTTTCGCGGGTTTCACTTCAACTTCAAATTTTTTGACATCCGTGCTACTGATTTTGCGTTCTTCCTTTCTTTGATTTGTTCTTCTCCTGCATCTTCTTCTTCTTTGCTTCAGCGCTGATCCATGTGTAGTCAGCAGGAATCACAAATGGGTCTTGAATAGTTTCTATCCTACTGCTTGAAGCACCGGATGAGAGGCTAGAACGATGATATGGAGTCTTGATCCACTGAAACCAAGATGATGATGATGATGATTGATTTGCCATCGATGGGCTATCGCGATCACCACTTGTTGGACTTGAAGGTGGGGTTGTGAATTCATCCAACGGTTGTAGTTCTTCAAACTTGGTGAAAGTAACCAACACCCTTATGGTTGGAATCACTGGAATCGCAACCTGAAAACAGTATCACCAGCCGGAAAAAGAATTAATACACAAGAAACTTGCTTTTCTGACTTTTATGAAGTTCGTTCATTAATGAGTTAGCAAACGATGTTTTACAGCATCAAATGAACCATCTTAGGGTAATATTCAAAAACTAGATGCAAATAAAGAATTTAACAGCATTTGGTTGGTTTTATATTGAGTCATGTATGGATAAAGTTGTCTTTGTGGATTAATATGTTTGTATAGATGGGGAAGGTTTTTACTTGGGAGGATTTTTTCATAGATGGAAGTAGCATGTTTTTTTTAACTGGGAGCGGTAGGTATGAAAAAACTTGGCTTCCTGCATAAAGTTCCCCCTGAAAGCTTATAGAATAAGCCACTTTCTATATCATTAAGCCACTACCAAAGAGCCATGTATAGCTGACTGAATAAGCTGTGAGTCCCGTTAGTTAAGCTCATTAAGCTACTAACAAACAGACCCCTTACAAATAGATGAACCAGAATCCCAAAATTCTACAGGTTCCAACTTTATTTCTCAAAAGAAACTACAATCATACAAGAATTTTTATGCTTATCCTATAGAGTAATACATTTCTGACTACACAAAGAAGATGGTGTTCCAAATCCTGCCATAAAAAGCATTACATGATATAACTAGAATCATATAGGAATAATGCACAAACGATTTTGCATTTCCGAAATGTAAACCTTATGAAAATTTTGACACCATATTTCATTGTTGGGCTAGCTTGTGCCATTGTGCGCACCTTGACTAATCTCATGGACCCTGAAGTTAATTGGCAAACCTCAAGTGGCCAGGGACTCGAACCTGTGATTACTCTGTCTGTATGGATAAAGCTGTCTTTATGGATTAATCTGTCTGTATAGATTGTGAAGATTTTTATTTATGAGAGTTCTTTCATAGATGGAAGGAGTGTTCTTTGAATTGGGAGGGGCAGATTTGGAAAAAAAAAAACTTGGCATATTGCATAAAGCTCCATCCTAGAAGCTTATTGAATAAACCTTCTTCTATATCATTAAGCCTATACCAACAGTCCTATATAGCTGATTGACTAAGCTGTGAGTCCTATTAAGCTCATTAAGCTGCTAACAAACAGACCCTCAAGGTCTTACTAGTTAAGCTACCCCAAAGGGTTGCCATATTTAATTCTTTCACACAAAGGTTTTCCTTTTCCCTAGTTTTCATCTCAGTTTCTCATTCCCGTATGCAATAGATGTTACATATTGTAAAACAAATGTTTGTATACATCCTAACCTCCTGACTCTACCTCCGAGTGGGAACTACAGGGTACGTTTATTGTAAAGCAAATGTGGATCAGTGGATGAAATCTGTTTGTTAGCCACAAGTTGAACACTAATCATGTTTCAAGAAATGAGTTAAGAGTTGTTTGGTTGGTTTTCCATTTAGTCCTACATGAATAAAGTTGTATTTGTGGATTGATCTGTCCGTATGGATAGCGAAGGTTTTTGTTTGGGAGGGTTTTTTTATAGATGAAAGGAGCATGTTTTTTAATTGGGAAGGGCAAGTTTGAAAAAAACTTGGCTTTCTGAATGAAGCTCCTCCTAAAAGCTTACTAAATAAGTCATTTTCTATATCATAAGCCACTACCAAACAGGCATGTATAGCTGACTGAATAAGCTACGAGTCCCATTAAGCTGCTAACAAATAGGCCTTTAATGCTCTCCCAATGCAACTCCTCAAAGGTGTTCCAATAAGATGGGATAGAGTGCTAATTGCACTATGGCAGATGTGAAGATATAAGAAAGGGTAAGTGGAAGTGATGATCCAATCTAAGTAGCACCAGACATGAACGAACGAGCATATACATCGACCAAGAAAGGTAAATCTCACAATTCTACACCAAAAAGATGAAGCGTAAAGATGACATAGCTATGAACTCGATGCAAGAATCTAAGGGCACATAGAAGTTTGTTACTAGTTGCAATACCAAGCAAGAAAGACATAGATGCACCAACATATAGGTAAAGAAAGCAGTAGACTGAAGCCGCTTCTAACGCTTACACGAAGATGTCAAGCTAACATTTCTAAAAATCATGATTCAAGTGCCATTGGGCACAAAGTTCAAACGGGCATCTTTTTTGAGAAACTTAAATATTTTGAAAACCGTGATAACCAATCATTCATGAATTATTCATAATGAATATTGTGATAGATATTTATGATGAATATCATGAATGACGTAGATGCATGATGAATAATATTCATTACTACTTGCTACTTAGGTATAGTCATTAATAGTTGGTTCTCAAGATATATACCGTTCCTACAAAACTTTCCCCTAAGTTCACAAGTCATATTAATCCATAATGACAATTTACTCGAGTTTTTTGAACTTTTATAATGATTTGATAGTGAAAATGAAGATAGTACCTTAACAGGAAAGGTGCCCATTGGAAGTTTTGTGGTAAGCAAATCTCTTAACCTTCGTATCGCCTTAACTTTATTCGCTAAAATGTCAAGCAAAGGCAAGAGTTCTTCGGTCCGCAATGGAAAGTTGGGTGAAAGCCAAAGAATGGGTCTCAACCCTTTCTTATACTCGTTCTCACGGGTTCCATCTTTGCGCCGATTGCCACTGCTTGAACTTGTTGACGAAGATGGTTTCAAATCCCGTGCTCTCCTATTCTCGTTTTCTTTTGCAGTAACCTCCATAGAATGCCTTCCGGGTTGTATTTGACTTTGACTTTGACTTGTGGAAGGCGAGTCCCCGAGTAGATCGCTGACCTTCTCCTCTAAACATAGCGAACCTCTAGGTGGGACCGGTGCACCCTTTCTGACTCGTTCGTGCTTATTATTATCCCGTTTCCTCCATCCATCAAACCAACCTTTCTTGTCCTTTTCATGCTTAATCTCACCGTTTCTGTAACTAGAAACATCCTCAATCGGGATATCTCTTTGTTCATAACAACTATGGCGATGCCCAATGATTTCATCACTGTTTTCGTTCATCAAATCTGAAGAATCCAACTTAAGTGCAGCTTCGAGCTGCTTACGCTCTTCATCCGTCAAAATATCATTAAGCTCTTCGCTTTCTGTTTCGTTTTCATTGCAAGACGAAAAGAATTCATCATCCGACATGGCTCCCGGGACACGTCTGGATTTTATACTCACAACCACATTATGCATATCGTAAACTTTACATTTCCAACTCCCAACTGTTTCGGTCTTCTCCTGTCTTCTCCACGTAATCTGTGGCAAAAGAACGGCTTGAGTCACATCAATCCCGGGCCTAAATATATTCGTCTGAGACATGGCTTGAACTTCCTGCTGCACCTCCGCATCGCTTGCTGGTGCACCAGCTCCATCTAAAGCGTTCATCACTTCTTTGTTTTTGTGTGAAATCATACAAAGCGATCCGGGAGGAACTTTTCCGTCCTCTGAACCATCGCCAAGAAAAAGAACGGTTTGGTCAGCCCTTTGAATTCTGAAACCATCGAAACCGGCTAAAGTCATATCAGCCCTCAAATTGGCACCCCTTTTCCAAATCTTGTAAGTATCAGAAGGGGCAATCCTGGAAATGAAGGGGATAACCGAGCTTTCGAACTGAAAGGTGATCTCCATATAAAAATCCCGCATTCGTCTCATCGTTCCGACCAATCTTGGCAATCTTCTACACCATTTAGCCCAAGCAATTGGTTGATAATGTCTAACTATAATTCTAGCAATCACTTCTTCTCTATTGCAAATAGCTTCTTGAAGGGCACTCCAACCATGCTCATTTTGCAAGCTCCAATCTGCACCAGCAAGCATGAGCATTTCGGTGGCGGTGGTATCGCCAAGTTTGACCGCCAGGTGGAGCGGAGTATCGCGATTAGGGACATCGCGGCGGTCAATGACGGCGGAGATCGCGTCAGCCTTGGCTTCCTCCGCCAAAGAGACTGATTCATTATGAATCTCTGAAGGGTCACAGAGACGTGGCAACCCAGCAATGATTTTCTTCAAACCACCATAATCTTTTGTCACTACGGCTTTGTGGGTTGGACTGTGGGCATACTTTGTCACATCAATTGCCGCCATGGCTGCAATCAATAGTTTCTTGGAAACAAACCCTAATAAACCATCCAAATATGAACACAAATCTCAGCAATAAAGATTCAGTGCCATGGCAAGACCTAAAGAAAATCGAGAAAGTAGAGTCAGACCCATCTCCAATTTATTGATTCAATCCGACCATTGTCGATAAAATGTCAAACTTTCAATCAAATCAACTAGATTAAACCAAAAGAACAGTTGTGTTCACATGTGAATCTTGAACAAAATGGGTGTAAATTATAATAATGGGTTAAAGAATGAAGAAATCTGACCTTATAATTATATCTTGGCTCGTTTAGAGTGAACGGCAGACCAAGATTGATGAGAAAAGAGAGTTGGCTAATGGCTACTGAACATCCCCACCACCAATAGAAATATAATACTAAGAGACCCTTTCGATCCAATCCAGATCAGACAAACCCGAAAACATGCATGTGGAGAGGTGGGGTTTCGAAAAGATTTAATATTTGCTACGAAAATCAGCAAGAAATGGGGAAATCTTTAAGGGTTTTGGGGAATCTTGATGAGGGAAATTGAAAAGGTCATGATAGAATCAGAGGGTACAAAACCCAAACCCAAACCCCACCGTTGAAGCAAAAGAAAGCTCAAAGAAAGACTTCATCAAGCATTTCAATTTCATGGGGTTCCTGAGAGAGAAGACAATGGATGTGAGCAGACTCTTTTAGGAGAATTTTACAGATTCAGAAAAGGTGGAAGAGGCAAAGGTTCCATTTTTATTTTACAGATAAGAACACGGACTGAGTATTGCAGAGAGAGAGAGAGAGAGAGAGAGAGAGAGAGAGAGTGGCGTTTAAAAGAGAAAACCCTATTTAAATGGGGGGTTATGTCATAAAATGACAAACCCATAATTTTGGCACTCAACTTTCATTCTTGTAAATAACCGATCCAATATTTTCATCTTGAAAACCATTTTCTTGATTTCAAATTTAAAGATAATTAATTACCTATTTAGAAATATATATTGGAATCCAATTCATTTTGTTGGATTTATCATTTATATGATCATAATATTCAATATGTAGGTAAGACACGTTTAAAATTAACTGAAGCAGATGCACTAAGAGGAAGTCCAAGGTTCTGTTCCTGTGTGGTTCATCTCTGAAAAGTAAGAAGGTCCTAGAACCCTTCTGACCATCTAAGATTGCATCTATAGACTTTAAACATGTTTTTCATGATAACTTAATGATGAAAACTCGTTGATAAATTTCCACAAGTCTAGTTCAAATAAAAACACATTAATCACATGGGTTCGTACGTAGTGATTGAGACCCAATGGGATATGGTGGAATATTTCATTTGTCATGAGTTAAATTTTAGATGTCTACAACAATTATGACCATTGAGTTTATCATGGTTGATATCTTACAATCGCAACTCGTAGGGATTAGTCCAGACATAGCCTATAAAACCCTTTCAAAAAAATCTAGATAGTCAAATAAAAACGTATTTTTTACAAATAGTAGGTATTCACATAAGTAAATCCTCTATACCTAAAAAAATAGGTTTGAGTCATTTTAACCCTTCTCATAGGCTCCTTCATGTAAAATTTATTGAGCTTTTTTGTTTTGATTTGCATTACAACGAATTTATTATTCATTCAAAACAACCAAATTAAACTTTATAAAGTATGACCAAATCTATAGAATTGGTATTTATATTTGGTGTAAGAAATGAGAAAATATGAAAGTTTGGGGGGCAAAATGGCAATTTAGAGAAAGATGGAAACACGGCAAAGGAAATGGGTGCATGTGAAAACGGAAAGAGGGAACTTAGCTTTCTTAATATGATGTGTTGATTGGTCAAATTTTCCATATTTCCAGCATTAATTATTTGTTAATTATGTTATTTAATTATTTCAAGAAAAAATTATATCATTTAAGGAGTCCAGTATTATTGGCCTATTGGGTGGCTACACGGGGTCCATAGGTGACAACCTCGGGTAGGTGTCGCCTAACTTAAACCGACCCGACCCGATTCAACCGACGCTTCGTGACTTCGAAATGCGACCCGCATAATTTATAGCTGCATACTTTTTCCTTTAAAAATAAATAAAACGTCTTTTTTTAAAATCTTAAGTTTAAGATAATATTTAATAAGACTTAAATACAAATTATTAAATGTAACGTATTGTTTTTATATGTAATTTGATAATGTATTAATATAATATTTAATTTAGATATATATCAAACTTAAATAAAACCACTTTCTTTACAATTTAATTATAATTCGTCTCAAATTAAGTGTTTATATTTTTATTTGTTTAAAAAAATTGTTCAATTTTAAAAGTAAGTTTCTGTTTTTCCATTTCATTTTTAATTATGAGATAAAGAAAATGTATCTCTTTATTATTAAAGGTAAAAATATTATTTAGTTACTTAAAAGTGTAATAATTATACATATTCTAAAATTGTATGTCATTTTTATTATTATTATTTGTTTTAGAACGAAATGAGTAATATATTATTAATTCGAAAACCAAACTTGAAAAATGTTTATTAAAAATAATCATTAAATATTTACTTTAAATTTTATAATATTTATTTCTAAGTATACCACCTATTATTTAACATAAATTACTATTTCTATGCTTACTATAACGGTATAGAGCAAAAATAGATCTATTGTAACATCCTTCCAAAAAATATGCTTCGAGTTGAAGTTTTTTCTATTTTATCCCTTATTTTTCTTTCCATCTAACATGGTACGATCTTAATCTATTTTCCTTTTTCTCAAATATTTTGTAAATTATGGTAACATTTTTCGAAAATATGCAATTATTGCTCTAAAAACTCATAGTGAGACGTGACTTTAATTATATTTTATGTACATCATGTTTTTTTTATTAACCTGGATATTCAACCCGTTGTGCGAACCGACTAATCATAGGGCAACCACATGTTTTGCGGTTAGCCTAGAGTCACCGTATTTGAACATTCGTGGTCACAAGAGGATTTTTATTTCTCCTTAGATTTAAACATGAGACTTCCAGACACTTTTGATATTTGGAACCCAAACCCAAACCAATCAGGCACCATCCTTATGGTTAATGCACGTCTTATAATGGTCACAATTTGCAACAAGTGGTTTTACAGAATTGTTATAGTTTGTTTTATGAAATATTAATGAATTTGTTGCAAACCAATGCAATTCGTGTTATGGTTTTGATATGATATGTTATGAACGGATGACAATTGTTTTACGAATTTGTTATAAAATACAAGGTTGTATAAGGCAGTTCTTGCTTTATCATTTATCATAATTGTTGAAGATCTAACCTACTTGCAACTTGTGGGTCTGAGAGATTGGAGGTTCCTTACCACGAGGTGGACAACCATTAAAACATGCACAAAACAAGCTCCCAAATTGTATGCTTTATTGTCGTAGTATTCGAGAAATGTTGTTTTACATGTGGCCAGGGAACCAGTATGTTCATATATCGACACATCCATTCAATTTGTAACGGAGACTTGAAGTCACGATCTTGGTAAAAAAAAAATAGTATGTGGAGTGTTTGATTGTGATGATGACTTCAATTGCTCGTGGACTGAGCTAGGTGATGATGACCCTGATCATGTGTTAATCGTTGATGCATCAAAGTAGCGCTTACCATCAAGTCAAGTGTTTTTGAATCTAGTGGAATATGGAGTAGACCAAATTTTTTGAATGATGATGTTAAGTCTTCCTACATATCCAATGTATCATCATTCGTCATACCATCACCACACTTTGAACTTCTCAAGACATTTGACAGGAGTTTTTGAGTAATTTGTAATAAAAAAAAGGTTGGTAAGATTAAATACGATATATTGCAACATTGTTGCAAAATGTTTACCACATTGTTACAAAGATATGGCGAAATGATATTTGATTAAGATAAATTTATGAATGTCTTACAAATGATATTGGTTGTACGATATTACAAGATCATTGCAATGGCAGTATATTTTACGATATCGTTTGATCCATCAATACACCAATGTCTGGTATATCACATGTAGTTCATTTGTTGTTTATTCAACCGTGAAACATAAAGATAAGGATTTAAATATCGTCATTTGTGATGCATGTGGATGTGACATTCTTAAGACAGATAATGGAAGCCACATGCTTTTGTGTTATTGCCTTGGATGCCAACAACCGTTTGTTTCCCATTGCATTCGCTATTGTTGATCATACAATCACGACTCATATCGCTATTTCACGAAAAACCACATGAAGCAATAAGATACATTGAGAACTTGGTGTTCGTTTTATATAGACACAACAAATTGTATTTTCAAACATTATCACACAACTAATTAAAATCATGTCAAAATCACGACAAATTAAGCTATGTTAATTTCTTTTTGTTGAAATTGATCCTCTCAGCCAACTTACCCGACCATGATGGTAGTTATATGTATGCCATAGAAACCCACATATGAAACGTCATGCCAACTCTAAAAACACCAAAGTGTAAATGTTGTTTCGGTGATGTAAAAAAGCGGTCGATATTTTAGGGACCAAATAATACAAACATAAGAATAAGAGAATCCATATGGATAATAGAGATTCAAAATAACACCAATGTAGTCGCGAATGGGAAGATAAACATGAAATATTTTAAAGTATCCTCAAACAGGCGAAAGATCGTGTGATAAGAAGAGTTAAAGTGAGAAGCGTAAAAAGAGATCTGGACCCGGTGCATTTCATCCTAATGTGTTTCAATGTTGGAGATCTCTTTTTATGCTTCTCGCTTTAATTCTTTTTTTTACCGGAACTCAACCCTCCCCAAACATATGTATTCATGATTGTTTATCATACAAATAAAGTACCAAAATCTTTATTATTGATTCATGTTGAAGCTTTCAGTTTGCGATGCTTTGTCATTTTTTGGAAAATTACATTAAACATTGCTTGTTTGCCAGAGTTTGTAACGTTAATTGTTGATTTGGTGTTCGATCATTTTCATGAAAAAGAATCATTAAGATATGTTAAACAAGTTGGATGATAGGCAAAAACAAGTAATATTTTAAATAAATCAACATGGGTTGGGTTAAATTGACCAAACTACATCTGTTATTTAATTTTCGGCATAGATTGCTCGTGGCTAAGTATGAATTGAGACGAAAGCTTTATAAATTTGTAAAGGTACTGAATAAAAAAAACTATAATAAGGCAATCCATGGGCATGGAACCCCGAAATAACCAATCTACAATCAAACTTTTAATCAGGTCGAAAAATTCTTGCTGGTGGGTAGAACCAAGACTCATAGTTTTATAAATAATCAATGTATTAAATATGATTACAGAAAATTACAGTTAAATAACAATCTAATTTTTTTTATAAACAATTAAGAAGATTATAAATATAAAAATACAGATAAATCATTTTTCTTATTTAATTTTTTAACTCATTTTAAATAAATATATAAAAACTCATATTTGAGCATCAATATGATGCATCTACCCTTGTGCTTGTCCATCAACAACAATAAGAGTAATTGTTAACCATATTTAAGAATCAAGGACCATTTGAGAAGTTATTTATTTTCATGCTCAATTATAGATGTTCTCAAGAGTGAATTATACTGGTGGTCATTTGGTTTGTTCATATTTTAGATTTGGTTTCTATATTGGTGATCCCTAACTTTTTAATGTTACTACACTGAATGTCCCTCTCCTTAACGTCATGATTTTATCAGACTTTACACCTATCACGTGCCCCTCACACAAGGGCCAAATCAATCTATTTATTTAAGCCCAATTTTTCTCCCTATTTTATTAGAAATCAGGGTGTATTGATCACATTTTACAACAATGGATTCAGTGGTCTAGATTACTTGAGGTCCATGACGTTCTTATTATTGATGGTGAGCCACAACTACATAGCACCGTCAAATAGGAGGTAATCATTTGAGAAGGTTGGAGATGATGAACCGTTGAGAGTTAGAAGAGGAGGATGAGAGGAAAATATGGAACATATGCTCATGCTCATTGATTTCTAATAAAACTGGGAGAGAGATCGGGATTAAATAAAAAGACTATTTTGCCCATCATGTGAGGGGCATGTGATGGGTGTAAGGTATGGTAAAATCATGACGTTAAGGAGAGGGACCTTCAATGTAGTGAAATTGAAAAGTTAGAGACCACCAATGTAGATAGTTTGCTTTAAGGATCAGATACAAAATTTGAATAAACCACACATACCACCAATGTAATTCACTCTTTTCTCAACGAATAAATTAAAATTACATGTGGCTTTTATTGTTTCTATTTAAAACAATACAACAATGCATATTCAATTAGTTCATATATTATTCTAAAGTTACCAGCCAAAGAAACTTTATTAATTTATAGAAAACTTAAACTGATGACTAACAAAAAAGATCGATTAAGCTATTTCCAAAGGCTATATGTTATTTATTTTGACAACGGAAAAGAACTTGTATAAAATTATAATCTTAACTCGGATTTTTCAATAATCCATACCAAGTCCGTTTCAATCTTTGTTAAAAAATATTTAACTGCTTATTTTTTTTCCTCCTATTTTTTTAAATAATCATAGAACACATCAAGTGTGACTCCTCTATGATGTGATTAGGGGAAAGTGACGCAATGGCTTAAATCGTTGATTTTAGTAGTAATTCATTTGGTTTTGAGTGATTTGTTCGTTATGGATACAAACTAGAGATATACAAAGAAGTTCAATGCCGAAGCCTAGTCCAAATCTAACCCGAACCCAAACTTAAAAAAAGTTCACGCTTAGTAAACCTGAAACCCGTCCATGCTAGGCATGTCTCGATCAAACCAAAATTTTGGAGGCAATCTAGAAAAACCCAGTTTAGAAGAACTCTGAAAAAACCCGATAAGACATTTTTTAAACTCCAAATCCCAACTTAAGCGTTAAAAACCCAATCATTTTTCGGTCACGGAAACAAGTTTGAGACACCTACATCTGCACTTTATACATCTCTAGTATCTATATCTATACTATCTTATAAACGAGATTTATTAAAAGTCTTAAAAACAACTTTTAATGAACAAAATACTATACATTTATGCACAAAATCTTAAAAGTTTTAAAAACAATTCATAATACATTAAGTAGAAACTCTTAAAAACAACTCATAATGCATTAAGTCCTACTACTACCAATGCACATTATACCTTTTCTTTTTATGTTCCCAATATATTTTTGACATCTTTCACTCATGTCTTCACCCTCTCATACCTCTATGTTTTCTCTTCATCCCCCAACGTGAGATTTAAACTGATATTCATCACGAGTTATTAAAAGTTATCTCATTCATCTTCAATTCAATTGTTCTAGAACTCTTGGTCTTGCTCTCAACCTCTTGATTCTTTACTAATAAATTATTATTCATTAACAAGGAATAAATTAAATTAAGTTTTATTTTATCATATTTTAATATAATACAATGAATTATTAAGGAATCGAGGAATAAATTTCATAAATACGATACAATAAAACGCCGCAAGTTTATTTTGCCACTTGTTTTTGTCAACTTCGACCTTCTCACTCGCAACTCCCATTTTTATACTGCGAACTCCGACCTTACTCTCATTCCATCCTATCACCTAATCCCACACCGTTGCCGCCGCCGTCGCCGTCGCCACCCCCAGCAACCACCCAAAACCTCAACTATGCAAGCTTCTTTAATTTTCCCAACTCCTCGCCACACCGGCATTCTTCCATCCACAACTTTCCGACCAGCCCTCAACTCCACCACCCATAAACCCTACAAACTCTCAGTCCGAGCCACCGCCTCCTCCACCACAGAAACCGTCGCAGCACCGCCACAATCTGTATCCTCAACCGACCCATCATCGAAACTCAACAAGTTCAGCTCAAGAGTCACTGAACCCAAGTCGCAGGGTGCCTCGCAGGCCGTCCTTTACGGCGTGGGTTTATCCGATGACGATCTTCGTAAACCCCAAATTGGTATTTCATCGGTTTGGTATGAAGGGAATACTTGTAACATGCATTTATTGAAGCTGGCAGAGGCAGTAAAAGAAGGGGTTCAAGAAGCTGGAATGATTGGTTTCAGGTTCAATACTATTGGGGTTAGTGATGCTATTTCGATGGGGACTAGAGGAATGTGTTATAGTCTTCAATCAAGGGATTTGATTGCTGATAGTATTGAAACTGTAATGTCTGCTCAATGGTATGATGCCAATATCTCCATCCCTGGTTGTGACAAAAATGTAAGTTGACCTTAACTTTTTTTCAATTCAAAAGATGGTTTTTGATTTGATGGGTCACTTTTATTTTGTTAAAAATGTAATCTTTAAGGGTCTTAGGTATAAGTTCATTTGAAATACTTTGATTTTTGGTACATTTTTCTATTACTTTCAATCTCAGATGGTCTTTGGGGGATTTTTCTTTGATGGATTGATTATCTTGTTAAAGATGCATTGTTTCATGGGTATTTGCTACAAGTTATTCTTGAATACTTTGTTGGGTGTCTTTTGTTCTTGTTAAAAGTGCAATCTTTAAGGGTCTTTGCTATAAGTTAAATTGAATTGTTGATTTTTGGTCCATTTTTCTGGTACTTTCAATTTCAGCTGGTCTTTGTGGATTCTCTTTGATGGATTGGTTATCTTGTTAAAGATGCATTGTCTTATGGGTATTTGTTACAAGTTATATCTTGAATACTTTCTAGGGTCTTGGCTATAAATTAAATTGAAATACTTCTGATTTTTGGTCCATTTTCCTATTACTTTCAGTTTCAGATGGTCTTTGTGGATCTTTCTTTGATGGATTGATTATCTTGTTAAAGATGCATTGTTTCATGGGTATTTGCTACAAGTTATGTCTTGAATACTTTGTTGGGTGTCTTTTGTTCTTGTTAAAAGTGCAATCTTTAAGGGTCTTGGCTATAGATTAATTTGAAATACTTCGATTTCAGATGGTCTTTGTGGAATCTTTCTTTGATGGATCGATTATCTTCTTAAAGATGCATTGTTTTATGGGTAATATTTGTTACAAGTCATGTCTGATACTTTGTTAGGTATCTTATTCCATCTCAAAAGTAAACTATTTCGATCTTTTTGAGGTTGGTTATGGTTTGCTATGAATCTATCTCTATGGGTTGTTCCCCTTTCTTGATAAAAAGGAAATATTCAAGAACATGGATGAACATATTTGAGTCGAAGGGCTTAAAATCATACACTATAACATTTATCAGAAAGTGGTTTAATTGTATCAAAGGTTTCTATATATCATTATCAAATAAATGCAATCATTTTCTTTTCCAGATGCCAGGTACTATTATGGCAATGGGGCGTCTGAACCGGCCAAGTATAATGATCTATGGTGGAACCATCAAGGTCAGGATCCATTTTATTTCGATAATTTATGAAATCTGGTTTGCTTTTGCCATAGGATATTTGATATTGTAGGCATGTGTTTGTAACCAAATTTTACAGTTTTAAAATAAGTTATGCTTGTAACAATCCCAAGATTTAGATGAAACTATTGGGTGAAAGATACCTTAAAATTCCATTTCATGTAATATAATTTCCCCTTCTTTGCAGCCCGGTCATTTTCAAGGCCACACATACGACATAGTATCTGCGTTTCAGGTACGCTTACTGCTATTCGATGAATTACTGAAGAAACGCATCTTCATTATGGGGAAATCTATCACAAGTATCATATTCTTCCTTCAGTTAAAGAACTTATCTGCGATTGTTGTGTAGGCTTATGGGGAATATGTAAGTGGTTCCATAAACGATGAACAGAGAACTAATGTTCTACGCAATTCTTGCCCGGGAGCCGGGGCTTGTGGTGGAATGTATACTGCAAATACCATGGCCTCTGCCATTGAGGCAATGGGAATGTCTCTTCCTTACAGGTGGAAAGTTGTTTTAGGTTAGTTTTGTAATTTCACACTGTTCTTAATGCCAAAAATCAACTGATATTTTTTGTATTTCTAAAAGCTCGTCAACGCCTGCTGAAGATCCATTGAAGTTGGATGAGTGCCGCTTAGCTGGAAAGTATATTCTTGATTTATTGAGAATGGACTTGAAACCAAAAGACATAATCACTCCTAAATCATTGCGTAATGCAATGGTTACGGTTATGGCTCTTGGTGGGTCCACCAATGCTGTATTACACTTGATTGCTATAGCCAGGTAAGGATCACTCGGGTTTGGATTTTTCTTGCAACAACACTGGTTGGGGGTTGGTTTTGAGAACCGTGGGAACCAACTATTCATGAATTATGCATTATGAATATCGTGATATATACTCATGAATATTTGGGTGTATTCATCATGAGTAGGTCATTTGAGAACCGTGAGAACCAACTATTCATCAATTATTCATTATGAATATCGTGATAGATATTCATGAATATTTAGGTATATTCACCATGAATAGGTCATTTGAGAACTGTAAATATAAATATTATTTAGAATTTGGTTCGGGTTTTCAAATTTGGTCAAATAAACCCAAATTGGACAGCAAACAAAGATGCATATCGTATAGTAACACAAAGCTAGAAACATTGCAGGTCAGTTGGTTTGAGCTTGACTCTCGATGATTTCCAAAAGGTTAGCGATGCAGTTCCATTTCTTGCGGATCTTAAGCCTAGTGGCAAATACGTCATGGAAGATGTACACAAGGTGTGAATCGTAATTTTATTTTGTCAAGATTCACCGGGAGACAACTCCCAGTTTTGCTGCATATACTCAACTGTTTCTGTTGTCATTTCTTTTTTCTTTCGAGTTTGGTTAGATTGGAGGGACGCCCGGAATCCTTCGATACCTTTTGGAGCTGGGGTATTTAGATGGAGACTGTATTACCGGTAAGCATAATAAAAAATGATCGACTTTCTGAACAATATTCGACTTTTTGTTGCAAACTAACCATCATCCAAAAAGATCGTTCTACTTGGCATTTTTTTGTCCAAAATGGCTTATTCTTACAACAAGTACTGTTTTCCGCATGCATTTTTATTTTTTACAATAACGTTGGTTGTTGTTTGTAATGAAAAGCCGAGATGATGGTTCGGATAGCTGTTTGCTCTAAGAAAAGGGTTTCAAGTTTTTCTACATTATCGGAATTCAATTTGTTTTCGTGGTTATTTTCAGTCACGGGGAAGACTCTGGCAGAAAACGCAAAACTGTTCCCTTCTTTGTCTGAAGGCCAGGTTATTCATCGGTTTCTTTTCCTTTTTAAGTATCAAATCTGTTAACTATTCATCCAAGAAGCAAGATTTTGTGCTCTTTTCCAGCAAATAATAAGACCACCAACAAACCCCATAAAGGAAACCGGTCACATTCAAATACTTTACGGAAATCTTGCACCCGATGGTTCTGTGGCAAAGATTACAGGAAAAGAAGGGTTATATTTCTCTGGTAATCCTCCTATTTTCACATTCACTTTTTTTTTAATAAACAATTGCTCATGATCTGTGAGACTTCCTGCAGGTCCTGCACTTGTGTTCGAGGGGGAGGAATCCATGATTGCAGCCATTGCTGAAGATCCCATGAGTTTTAAGGTACATTCGACCGTTTTTGTGTTTGCCTTCCCCTTTCTATGTTTCCTATTTCCGTTCATTTTGCGCTATAAGTCAATTCCAAGAACCTCCAACTTCTTGAACCATTGTACTTGATTTCTTTTTGTAAACATTTTCGTTCTTGTAAAAATGCGAAGAAAAAACGAACAGTTTTGAACAAGAAGTGTCTTGAGTACAATAACTTTTTGCTCTTTTTGGCATTTCCATAATTTGTCCAAGATCGTTCATTTTTGCGTACTTTTTGTTTGAAATCATTTTCAGGGGAAGGTAGTTGTTATTAGAGGAGAAGGTCCTAAAGGGGGGCCGGGTATGCCCGAGATGCTGACACCAACAAGTGCAATAATGGGCGCAGGTCTCGGCAAGGTACTTTTTGTTTAGAATCTTTTTAAGGGCCTGTTTTTAGCAGCTTAATAAGCTTACTGGAACTCACAGCTTAATTGGTTAGCTATATGCGACTGTTTGGTAGTGGATTAATGATAACAGAAAGTGGCTTATTCAGTAAGCTTCTGCAGAAAGTCAGGTTTTTTCCAAAACAAAAACAATTCCAATCTATACAGACAGATTAATCCACACAGACAACTTTATCCATACATGACTCAATGGAAAACCAACCAAACTACCCCAAAGAACTTAAACCTACTATCGAGTTACCCTAATAATACATCCGTTTTGTGCTCCGTGGGTCCCATCTTCGGTTCTTCTTGCATCAAGTAAATAGTGCCCACATTCATTTCTTCTTTTGCACACTATGCATAAGCCGGGAGTCATCATGGAAACAACCGCTCTATTTTTTAGGGTGGGGTTCAGATTTGCACACATGTCACCCCCTAATACCCGACATTCAAGTGGGATATATTGGGTTTGTTCGGTTATTCATTTCTTCCCAATCCCACAAAGTGAAAGCGTTAACCAACCAAAACTAATGGAATGAAGCTTTTTATTTTTAGGGTTTGGTTCAAATTGGCTTGCAAATTATGATTTTTTTGTTCTTAAGGGCTGTTTCGATCAGGTAGCTTGGCTTACTAACGAGCTACAAATTCGTTAAACTTTGTAGGAAGTTGCGTTGTTGACCGATGGAAGATTTTCAGGTGGTTCACATGGATATGTTGTTGGCCACATATGCCCAGAAGCACAGGTTTCATCCTTTTCTTGTTCTACTTCCTTAGTATAGAGATGGCCAAAATGGGCTCGGACCGGCCCGACGGTCCATAATCTGTTGTGGTTTTTACGAAAATTTTCAAGGCCCGGCCCAGGATCGGTTATACATAGGCCCGATTTAAAAAAAAATAAGTTTTTATAAATTATATATCAAGTTTTTCAAGATTTCTACAAGATTTTTCAAGTTCTTTTACCAAAAAATTCAAGTTTATTTTAAGTTTTCCAAGTTCTTTTGGAAGTTTTTCAAGTTTTTTTAAGTGTTCCAGTATTAAATTTCAAAAATTATAATGATAAAAACATGTACAATATTCTTTTGTAAAAAGGATTTAAAGTGTATTTGACTAACGCCATTTTAAAATGTATTTCAATAAGATATTGTAAAAAAAATCATCAAACAAGATTTTTATATGTTTAAAATTGTTTTTTGGAAAAAACTTGGGACCGATTTGGGCCCGGCTCGGCCTTTATGGTTAAAGGAGACTGGGCCATGGGTTTTTGGTCGGGACCGGGACCCGGACCGGTTACGAAAAGAAAATCAAGGATCGGGACCGATTTGGGCCCGGCCTGGCCCAACTTGAGAACGGTTTTTGTCCATCTCTACTTGGCACCCTGAAACTTATGATAGTGGCAAATCGGTAAAGTGATTCTATTTGCAAAATTTGCCACAAAAGCAAAATGGGATTTACTAATCCAAATGTCAGGTCTACGTACATCTCACCACAAGACCTCTATCTGGGCTCGTTTAGTTTGGTTTTTTGGGATTTCTTTCGATTCTCATAGAGGGTGTCTAATTAGACATGAATATTTATTATAATTAACCGAAAGAATGTCGAGAAAATGTTTGTAAGGTGCACCTGGTCCCGAACCCATCTCTTGAAATGTTAATGGGGTGCAGGAAGGTGGTCCGATTGGTTTAGTTCAAAATGGAGACGTTATCACGATAGACATCAGCAAAAAGAGAATGGACGTTGACCTACCCGACAAAGAGCTCGACGAGCGACGAAAGGCATGGACCGCTCCTGCATACAAGGCCGACAGAGGCGTCCTTTACAAGGTACATTCCCTTCTGTTCCAAGTATCTTGTCAACTTCGCCTTCCGACAACAAAATTCACCAATTCTCAAATCTAGTTTGATAATTTGTCAGAAATTTGAGAATCACATGAGCATCGTAACATGTAGTGCGTATTGATGTTAAATTCGTAACGAAATTCGAACTCGCGGTCTGTTTGTTGGTAGCTTAATGAACTTATTGGATCTCATAGCTTATTCAGTCAACTATAAATGGTTGTTTGGTAGTGACTTAATGATATAGAGAACGTGGCTAATTCAGTAAAAGTTTATAGAGAGAGATTTATGTAGAAAGCCAAAAAAAATTTCCCAAACATGCCCCCTCGATTAAAATACATTCATTTCATCTATGAAAAAACCGTTCCAAACAAAAACCTTCCAGATTAATCCACAAAGACAGCTTAATGAAAAACCAACCAAATACATAAATACCCCCTCAGAACACTAAAAACACAAAAATGGAGGTGTTTTCATCTCCAAACCAACACTAAAACACTAAAAAAATGATCATTATCAACCTCTAAAAATATATATTAATATTTTATTTAACTTTTCTAATTATATATAAAGATTAATAGTTTAATACATTAATAAAATAGTATAATAGTAAAGACTTGCATTATTTTATTATTAAAATTCTTTTTGTGTTTTTTAGTTTTCAAGGGACCCACCATTTTTAGTGTTTTTTTGTTGTTGGATTAGAGTCGTTTTTATATTGTTTGTGTACTAATGATGCTGTTGGTTTTCAGTACATCAAGAATGTTCAATCGGCTTCGAATGGATGTGTAACGGATGAGTGTTAAGAGGGAAGTTGAGATCAGGGGTGATATCGAGAATTGTCGCAATTCCAGCTGGCGACTCGGTTTTTTTTTTACTGCAGGTACGAGAGTATGATTGATGTTGGTTTTGTATGTTTTTTGAAACGAGAGGTTGGGACCATTGTACAACGGTCATAATTGGACCTACATTTTAAATTTATAACTGCTAAGAAGCAGTTTTGAGGCATATTGTAGTAGCGTCTTGGGTGTAACCTGGTTGTTTTGCTTTAAATACTTTGGCCCCAAATTCGTAAGGGTACGATTTGAACGATGTTTAATAAACTGAGAAAAAACCTCGAAAACTGAAACCAAAACCAATATGGTATCGATTTGTACGGCACCAAATTAATCAACATGTAATTATGTAACCTGGAAAATATTTAAATGATTGATATTACTATTTCATATATGTAAGAACACGTAAATTTTGATATTATTGTACTCTAGGTCTAAAAAATAGTAAAATTGATTTAGATTTTTTTTATTTTAGAAGTTAATTTCATGCAATTTTTTTAAAGTTGGATGGATGGCTTATTTATAACTATTTAAAATAAGAAAGTTTAATGGTTTTTTTAATTAAAAAAGAAAAGAAAAACAAAGGCTTAATTATTCAAAATGACTTTTCTCTTGGTGTTAGTTCTCAAAATTTGACTATTGAACATTGTAACTTCAAATTTTATTGTTTGAATATTGAGCATTGTGACTTCAACCTTTGCAACATTGACAAAAACATGTGTCAACCTAAAATTGCTGGTACCAAATGAAGTTGATTGGTATAAAGCTACATGAATTTTCCTACAAAATGTAGTTGATCGAGACATAATATAAGGAAAAAATATATAGTACCATATCACATGTTCACACCTAAAAACCACAGGTCCAAGAGGTTTCAATGGATTTTTGAATCATTAAGAAAAGAAACAAACGTAAGAGAAGAATGATAATAACGAAAATACAACGGCATGTAGAATGAGACACCATAAAACAAAGTAGTGGTTGAAATAACGATGAAGAGTGTCGATCAATTTCCATAGGTAACGTTTGAAGAAAATACAGACAATCCTGAGGGAAAAATGAAAATAAAATACGAACAAGTAACTTTGCTACAGTCACCTTATTCTTGTAAAATCCCATTTAATTATGTTTTTCCCCCTGTAAATGACAGACATGTAACTTAACCATTAAAGATGATCTATTTAGCATTGCACAGCTCATCACAAGAATCGCCTCTCTCGAAAACAGCCGCTGCACCCATTCCAGTGCCTGCATTTTTTTGCACAAATTGCTCAGCACACACATAGACACACACACACACACAGACGGAAGAGATTGAGAGAAAGAGAGGCCTACCAATGCACATCGAGACGACACCAAAGCGGCAGTCTCTACCACGACGCTTCATCTCATGCAGCAGAGTCGCAACACAACGTGCTCCTATCAAAAGTCTCACAAACCAGTGAACAGGTACAAAAGAAAAGGATTGCAATCAACAAAAGCTTGGCTAAATGCAAATGTTCCTTCTTTTCATGTTATTTTTTTTAAGTAGACAGCTAATTCAAATGGATGGAGCCAACAAATTGATGCAAATGGTTAAATCACTTTGCATTCAAGATCATCTTCTTGTCATTTGAGAACTAGAACTTCAGACAAAGGATCATGTGAGAATAGTAGTTAAGGTGAGAAGTATAAGAAGGGATTTGGTGTTTAGGACTTCAGAAGGGAATTGATCCAATGCTTCTCATTAGTGTTGATCTAGTGGAACTCTTCAATCAGGATTTATCCAAGGGTGGAGGTCCCTACCCTTCTCACCATAAGTCTCATTCTCACCGAGACCCAAGTTTATGCATAAGTTTTACCTATTTGCTGCATATTATAGTTATAAGGTGTGTGCAACTATTTATAACAATTAACACATAAGATCTTTGGATTGTTTCTCCAAACCCAATAGATGAGATTACATGGCACAGAACTTGTTTCTCAACAAGCAAGCAGACAAACCATGAATTCTGAACAAATAAGCCACCATGACCACTGAAAGAGAATGCCCTCTAACCTTGTTAACAAATTTTTGTTGCTTACATGCACCATAGGGTTATAGCCTACCGTGTTATATGTCATGCAGACTCCACCAAATAGTGGCCAACAAAGACTGAGCCCAATCCATGTAGGACAGATCAAAAATCTACCACAACATTTTGGGCATCTACTAATGGTCACCTTTGTCAGGAGAAGTAATTAAAACAAGAGATCTTAAAAAGAACGATTGCAAATGGTAGATGAAGATAGAACTGCATGAACCAGATACAAGGAAGTTCACTATTTTATGCAAGGTACTCATTCATTTTTCTGGGAAGAAATGATTTTGCTAGATGACATTGACCAACATTATCCATTTATGCAGGAAACTATATCTGTACATGTTCTTGTAGTTTACCTGTTGCTCCCAAAGGATGTCCAATGGCCATTGCACCGCCATTGACGTTGATCTTTTGTGGATCAATCTCAAGCTTCTTTTGGCAATATAAAAATTGTGATGCGAATGCCTGCCAGAATAAAAAATATATATTTTAGTCTTCTCCAACCTCACTACTTTGACAGCAAAAAAATTAGAACATATCAGAGTTTTGCATCTCATCATCACCTCATTGATCTCAAAAAGATCAATATCTTCCACTTGAAGACCAGCAGCCTTGACAGCAGCTGGAATTGCAACAGCAGGGCCAATACCCATGATCGATGGGGGTACACCAACAGCAGCAAAAGTCCTGCAATGGGTTGCATGTTTAGTCAAAGAAAAGAAACTGAAGAGGAAACAGAACAAACAAAAGGTGAGCTACAACAAAGTATCAGCGAAAAGTTTTGAGGATTCTAACTCAATACAGAATCAGTAGTCTAAAAGACCATAATCGGTCTCTTTTAAGTCGAAGAACACCTATAGCCAAATTTTGCATAGGATTACCGGAGATACATGTGCATGTAAGAACAAGATGATATGCTTTATATGCTTTTTGACTATAGTGTCTAACTTTATAGTTGCTTCATGGCAATCCTGTAAAGGTTTCAATGCTATGCACAAATGAAACCTCCAGTTCCACATCACCTGATGGTAACAACGAGACAGCCTTGCTCAATCACTTACACTTCACTTGCAAAGGGAGGCAATGGTAAGAAGACCAAATCACCAAGCTTGCATAAAGGCATAAACACACTTTCCTTTTGGTTTTTTTTCCTCCCTCAGTTTAGCTTAACTCACTCATGAATATAAAAAGAACTAACTACGATCTATGGCTTTCAGGTTCTCTTGCAAGGTAGTGTGTTCACTCTCTAACTACAGGTTTACTATCCTTGGGAGTTAATCTTCTTGATGTCCACCTCCAACGTTCTACAGCATTGTTCTATTTATGTACCGCCTCCATCTAAGGACACATAAGCACCTAAAAGTACGTGAAGTTGAAGAATGCCAACGGGTTGCCGAGTCAAACCAACCACATACCTAAATACACCAAGAATTGGTAATCCCTTCTGCAGGGCAAGACTTCTCTTCATCAAGAGGACACCACCAGCACCATCACTCACTTGGCTCGAAGTTCCTGTGGAGAAGGCAAGAAAATTTGTAAGATCTAGTGCTCAAGTATATTTTTGTAGGCTGACACAAAAACTTTGTTGCTATGTACCTGCAGTGGTCGACCCATCTTTCTTGAATACCGGCTTAAGTTTCGCAAGATCTGCCAAACTAGTCCCTGGGCGGATCCCATCATCAACAGAAATTGTAACAGGTTTTTCGTCTCCAGTTTTCGGGTCAACAATCTTCTCCAAGTGAAAGATTAGATCAGAACAAAGCATAAATAATAAAAAGGGAAATATAGGAAAAACAATGATGAAAGACATTTTCACCTTAGTTGGAATTGGAATGATCTCGTCCTTGAATTTTCCAGCAGCAGTTGCAGCAGCAGCCTTTCTATGGGACTCAACCTACACAGTACAAATGCTATAAAATACACCAGACAACTACATTTAAAGGAAACAACACCCTGGTAGATCAATTCAACTCACTGCAGCCTGATCTTGTTCCTTCCTCGTTATGCTGAAGCGGTGTGCAACATTTTCTGACGTAATCCCCATTGGTAGAAGACAATCTTGAGCTTGTGCCATGGTCTTCACCTGGTAAAGTTAGACGGGAAGTTGTCAATCCCCAATCACATCCAAAAATACTACCATGGAGCGCTTTTACAATGCAATACACAAATAACAAACAAATACACACATGTAAATATGTGTGCACAAAGCACAGGTATAAAGGGAATGGGTGAGAGAGAGAAGGGGGGGGGGGGGGGGAGGTTACACCTTTGGGTTAACCGAGCCTTCCCATGCCATAGGATTGACGGTCATGGATTCCAACCCAGCACCAATACCTATTCATATACAATTGAACTGGTTCAGAAAGAAAGCAAAGGATGGTGCTCTGTGCCCATGACTTCAATTTGTGAAGCATACCAAAATAAAGAAAAAGAAAAAAGGGAACTCACCAATCTCATAAAATCCAGCTTTAATAGCTGCAGCTACATCAGCTACTGCCTGAAGACCTGAGGAACACTGTCTGTTGACAGTCCTAACTGGCACCGTTTCTGAGATACAGGTAAATCATATATTAGTGGATCATAAAAAGAAGTAGGTATGCACTAATGAGAAATGCAGTCTCTTGAGTCTTCGACATACCAGGAAACCCAGCATAGAAAGCAGCCATCCGGCATTCGCTTGCTCTTTGGGATCCTGCTCCCAACACTGATCCAACAACAATATCTCCGACTTCGGCCGGATTAAGATTTGTTTTCTCTATTAATGCCTAACCAAATATGAGAAAATAATGTAAAAGTTGTACCAGCCTTTTCTTCAAAGAACTGACCCAGGCCACTAAAACATAAGTTGAAAGAACATACCTTCAAAACTGGTGCAAGTATATCATCAGGAAAGGTATCCTTGAACCCACCTCTCCTTGATTTGCAAAGAGGAGATCGGTAGGCACTGCATAAGAAAAAAGGATTAGAAAAAGATCCAAACTTAGTTGCTGATAGAAGGTTGCTCTGTCAATACACACATTAAACCAAGAGATTTTGAAAAGGAAAATGATAGGAAGTCAGGGAGCAGAGAATATTCAACAACTATTACTTACGCTACAATTACTACATCATCCCCAAAAACAGAACTCCTCTGATAAGCAGCACTATCACCAGCTGCGCAGACTGATGCCTGGTTTCAAAGTACAAACATCAACCATATATTGAGGAAAGAACAATGACATGATGCATTCATGTAAAAGAAGTCAGACGGACACATCAATTAGCCATTTCAACAAAATTAAGCTTATGTTAAATTCTTGTAGCTAATGTGCACCAGGAATTTGTTCATTTTCAGATTTATAATTTGTTCTCCATCATTTACCTGGTGGCACCTAACACAATCCCTTAATTTCAACCTTCTTTTTTTATTTCATCCCATGAGTACTCGACATATACACATGTAGGCCTCAAAGAGACACCTTGTTTCATAACTTAACCAAATAAGCACCAATTGTGATCCCAAACCTTGAATGTGATGCTCGCAACAACAATCAATCAATCAATCACAAACTAATCGGGGAGGCCAGAATGAAAACCGTTGGACAGGTGAAACTGAATGAAATTATGAAGAGGTCAAGCCACCCTATGGTTCAGGGAAATGAAAGCCATAATTCCACATGCCCCTATGCTCCTCTCTAAGGTGAAACCCTAGGAAATTAAAATCACTGTTCAACACTTAAAGTGCCTCGTCTAGGCTGTCCTAATGGTAAAAGTACAGCCTTAGGTATCATAAATGCAAAATACTGTTCTTTAAACATGTACCTGGTACGAACTAAACGAACAGAAAAGGTCAATTCGATCAGCCCGGAATCCATTTTAAGCATGCCAGTATAAAACCAATAGCTTCGACAATTTTGAACGATTTTTCTTGTTGCATAAGGGATTTTAGAACATATTCCAGATCAAAACTCCAATAATTTAAGTCAACTAAATAAACCTTTGTGAGATAAACATTAAATCAGGTTTAAACGATGATAAGGCACACGACAATTTCAAGTAGGAGAACCAGATACGAAACCTAAACATCAAGGAGAGCAAAACAAATTCAAACTCTAAACAATCCCGCACGATCAAATCACACATGTATCAATTTAACTGGAGAAAAAAAAAGAATCGGCTTCGGATCGAGTCAAACAACAAGGACCGATTGATTGAAACTAAAATTGAACTTACGGAGAGTGATGAATCAAGATTTTCCAAGGATGAAGAGGTAGAAGACGGACGAAGATGCTCTAGCAGAACTCTTTGTCTCTCGATTGCTCTCTCCATTTTCTCACCGAAATCAATAATGGTTGCTTGTGCGAATGGAATTGTTTAACAGTAGAAGCAAAGGTGCGCAGCGATCTTGATATATATAGAGAGAGAAATTTCTTGGTTGAACATCGGGATGTGTGATGCTTATCGTTTACGGATTAATATGGCGGTTCCGCGTATAGATTTCCATCGGAGACATTTGACGATCAATAGACGAATCGTAGAGTGTTTTAATTTTATTTTGTTTTATTTATTATACAAAACATAGCATTTTCAATATATTTTTAGAATGGAGATTTCAAAGAATCCATTTAAACAAAAGTCTTTAAATCTTATCTAAAGACTATATATTTATTTTCTCTTTTTTATTAATCTGAATATCCAACTTGTTATATAAACCAACTAAGTTCAAAACGATCATCTGTGTTACAAATAGTCTGATGTCTCCATATTTGAACCTCCAAAGCTACAAAGAGAATTTTATTTCTCCCTAGATTTAAACATGTGACATCCAAACACTTTTTATCTTTGGAGGTCAAACTCAAACCAATTAGGTACCATTCTTGTGGTCATCTATACTTCTATGTTGTGTTATAAAGTATTTGGTTCAAACTCATCCCTACATAATTACTTAATCTTTAAGATTACAACTTATTATACACTAATACAACTTCTTAGAGCATGACAAAATAAATTATAATAAAAGTTGAACTAAAAAATTATGAAAAAACAAGAATGATTAAACTGTTAATTTGATGTTACTAATCGATATAAATTTTTATGGGTTTTCAAATTTATATTTTATTTAAGCATAAAAACACCATCTTTTTTTCAGAACCATAGAATATTGTACTATAAAAGCGACATAAACAAATAATAAAAAATAAACATTAAAATCAAGATATATCTCATTGTATTACATGAATATACTTCCAGCTTAAAATAAAAAAAGTTAAAAAGAATATGATGGAACTTTAAAAATTATTATTTAAGAATAAAAAACAATTTTTTATTCTTCTCACGAATGAGAATTTTACAACCAAATGTTCCAAAAGATAAATAATCGATTATTGTAATATTTTAATATTAAACCTAACGTTCTTTTGTTTTTTAGTTTCCAACTAATTTTGTCTCGAAGTAATCATGGGAAATGTTAACATAAATTAATTCATATTAAGAATCAAATAAATGAGATTTCATCTTACCAAAAAATTAATTATGGTAATAAATGCATTACCATTTAGTTGTGTCAACTTTAAGTAATACATTTTGTATTATCTAATATTTAAATCGTCATAATAAGTTGTCACACTCAACTTTTGGGAGCCTTGTCGATAAGTGAACATGATATACATATCATTTGAGAAAAAATGTTAAACTTAAAGCCTAGTGAGATCAAACCTGTTACTGAATAATATAGTAAAACATGACACATTTACCCTTGGAAGGGGGGCATGGCACCATAAAACAACGGGCGAGTCCTAATTTGCCGTTGGTTGTGGCATAACACAAAAGTAAGCCACAACACAAAGTTACATGGCATTTCTCACGAGTAATAAGTGTTAACGTTAACTCTATCCAAGTCTTTAGCCAACAAGATCAACTATGTTCAAGTATTTCGCTTAAAAAGTCACCAAGTTCAACCTCATACATGTATTTACCTTGGGACCTCCCAATCCCAATTTTACAAGGAATTCATACTCCATGTAAGATTCATAAAACCGAATTTTATACTTATTGATTCATTGCATTCTAGCCTATATATATATATGGAAGTTTTTTTTTTATAGGCAAGGGATATAATATGAAGAATTAAGAAGGAATTGAAAAACGAACTAATTCAGGAAGCTAGAAGAAAGGAGTTTAGAGACTCATAGCAAAATTGAAAGCTTATTATTATTGCTTATGCGGGCGTTGGATGATTTACAAATGAATTCGATCGGCTATATATATACATGAAAAAGGTAACTGCAGGTCCTACCACTATAAAAAATTCAAACTGCTACAGTAATACTACAGTAAAAAGTTAATGCTACAGTAAAAGTTAGGCGAATTTTTTCAAAAAGTACACAGTGAYTTGTCGGCCGCCATGAATTATTGAGGTATGCGTGGCTGTCTGAATTATTGGAGGTACGTCATTGCTTTCATCATGTCTTCTAGATCATGTACTGTGTGCTGTTTTGTCTTCTCTAGAAGTCTCTGTGTGTTTCTGGAATTGTTTGTGGATATATATATATATATATATATATATATATATATACTAGAAGCGTACTCGCGCAATGCAGCGAGATACATCGTGATTTTAATATTTCATTTTATTCTTTATCTCAGTCGATGCTATAATATGACTTTATATGATTTTGAGAAATCGATGATGTTTTTATTTTTGAATAAAATATATGTTTGAAGATATCATAAAAAATTGACAAAAATATATCGATATTARTATCAAATTAACTATTTGAAATTCCTCATTTTTTTGTGTAATATTTTAATTCAATTGTTTTATAATTTAATTTATGTACAATAACGAAGTAATTTATATTTGGTTTAATAATATGATTGTTTTATAAAGATAATAATTATTTATTTTGTTGGAACTYGATAATTATTCTAATTATATTTTAGATTTTTTATATTTTAAAATGAGATATTCATCCTCTATTTGATTATGTTTATCCGCATTTATTTATACAAATTGAAATATCGAGCTTTAATAAGTTGTACTTATGCATAATTACTTGTAA